ATTAATTATGTTTTGAGATTTCATTCTGATTTAAACTATTCTGAAGATGGTCAAAAATTATTGACCGAAACGTCAAATAAATATCACTTCAAAAAATAACTCTTGGCACGATCAACCAGCCTGACCCTTGATCTCCTATCTTTATTAAACAAGTTTTAATTTATTGTGGGTTTTCTTCTCAAAATAATAATATTTATATTTGTTTTAAACAGTCAGAATCTGGTTATGGGAGTGAGAACAGTCTCAAACGACATGGTAGTGCCATTTCGCTTGTGTCGAATACACAATCAACAACGAGTGCTGGTAGTTTTACTAAACGTGGCATTAGAGGACTGAAAGAGAAGTTAGCCGAAATTGAAACATTCAGAGATATTTTGATCAAGCAGATCGATACCCTGCAGAAATATTTTGATAACTGTGCGGAAAATGCTAAGAATACTTCCAAAAAAGGTAACAACTTTTAACTTTCAGAGTGATCTCTTCATACTTCAACTTATTTCACAGTATTCTAATTGTAGGTAATAATCATAGGTGAATATATATATATATACAGCGAATTTCGTAAATACCTAACACTGAGTACACTACGAGATTCCTTGTATAAAAGTGAGTAATAAAAGTTCTTACAAAAAAGTCGAGACACCAATAGTTTTTGAATGGTGAGCTGTTGAAGTTGACCAATTACGGAGCGAAACTATCGGGCGCTCAGGCACGGCGCGTTTGAACAGGCGAGAAACGCGCCCGTGGTTCTCGTGAATTCCACGAACTGCGAAACAGGCTGCAGCAGCCGTACCTGAGCGCTTGATAGTTCCGCTCCGTAATCGGTCAACTTCAACAGCTCACCATTCAAAAACTATTGGTGTCTCGACTTTTTTTATAAGAACTTTTATTACTCACTTTTATACAAGAAATCTCGTAGCGTACTCAGTGTTAGGTATTTATGAAACACCCTGTATATATATATATATATATAGAGAGAGAGAGAGAGAGAGAGAGAGAAAATTTTATTAATTTTTTTTAATCAATTGCAGAAAAGAAAATTGAGACAATGTTCAATCCAGCCGAACAATCAGTGGATTTTAAAGGAGAAGCGATAACATTTAAAGCCACTAGCGAAGGGGTGTTAGCAACCTTACAACATTGCGTGGAATTAATGATACAGAGAGAAGATGCATGGCGTCGTAGATGGGAGAAGGAAGTCGAAAAGAGACGAAAATTGCAAGAACTTTATAAAGTTCTGAAAGACCAAGTTGCCATGCATCATAACGGTTCTCCAAGAGCCAGGGTCCTCATTCATGGAGGTCCAGATTATGAGGTAAGTTCTCTTTTATCACAATTTCGTTACTATTTGTAATTTCTATTTTATTCTGAGGATCAAAAATGACACATCCGGTTAATAATTTCTATAAAGATTTATGGATGATAAGTATATATACCACATATTAAATATTATAATAATGAATAGATACAAATAAAAGAATATTTCAAAATACTAAAAAAAAAACATTTTTATATAATATGGTTACGAGATGTCCGATCCTCATTAATATTCGTGTATCATATATCAACTCAACTTACCTGCTCCTACTTTACACAACGCTTCTAAACACATGGCTTATATAACTCTATCAACACTGTAATAGCCTTTAACGCGAAGAAGTAAAATTTAGAAGAAATATACATTATGTGAAAAAGATAATTAAATTTTCTGCTTGTATTGTTGAAAAAATATTTAACACAAAGTATGATTTTACATTTAATCGTTTATCTATGCACAATTACTTGTCAATTTCGTAATCTTTTATTAGAAACTTTATCATCTCCTGTTTTTCATGATAATAGTTTATTAAAATATTTTTCTATATTTTTATTATATATTAAAACAAAATGTTATTTGTTTCTTAAATTCTTATACTTTATACAAATTATCATGAAAAATATTCATATAAGAAAATAAGTGAAAATTTTTAATTAATTATTACATTGCGCATCAACACATCACATGTCAATATATGATTACATCATATGTTATCACATGATGTGTCACAATAACATTTGTGTGATAGAGAGTGAGTGAAATGTGTTTCTGACTGTGTTTCGCAATTATGGATTAAGTCACTACTTTGGAAACTTTGTCTGCTCAGTATCCTCCAGGCTACTAAGGACTGCAGACTTACATTCACTCTTAATATAAATTTCTGTACATTGTAACATTGTAATTTTTATATTACAAAATGAAATTTAAAATAAATTTTTATAATGTGAGTTTAACTATATATATTGACCAAATAATAAGAGTGATGAAATCAATCAAAAAGTAGTGGTATTTAATTGTACATGAAATTTTTGTGTTATGTGTTCTATAGAGTGAATTATTTATTATAAATTAAAATTCAAAGATATATATATAAATTATACATTTTTTAGCTTGTTTTTCAACAACATTTAAAATTTTCTTTTTAAGGAAGGTCCGCATAGCGCTCTTTGTGATGAGGAATTTTACGACGCCGTCGAAACAGGTCTGGACAAAATCGATGAAGAGAATCAATTGAGGGACCGTTTGAAACAAAAATCAGTTTCAATTTTAACATCTCCCACCACAACAGCATCTACGCATAGATTATGGCCTGAAGTAATTATACTGCTTCTATATTTTACAGCTCTCTAATTCTATTGAAATTTTGTTGTCATTAGGAACTTATTTTTTCGTTACTGATTTTAATATATAAAATATATAAAAATACAATATTGAATCAGCCTATTACCTTTTTTCTCGGTTAACACTAGTTATGATTAGTTACGTTAACTCATTGTGTCGATATTTAACTAGAGACTGCGTGAGGCGCATGTTGATTTAAGTGAACGAATAGTATACAATATTAATCTAAAAATTAATTTCTAATTAATATTAATTCCTAATAATAATTGTTATTTTTATACTTGTTATACATTTAACATGAGATTTTTATAATGGTGCGTTTCTTCATTATTTTTTTATTATCAATTTGCAGATAGAGAAGATTACGATGGAGCAATTACATTATGCTCGACTCGGTGTAGGCGGAGCAGGCGGTTGGCAATTATTCGCCGAGGATGGTGATATGCGAATGTATCGACGAGAGGAGGAGGCCGATGGACTGGTTGTGGATCCTCTCAAAGCATGTCACGTCGTCAAAGGAGTAACTGGTCATGAGGTGTGCGAGATATTCTTCAGTCCCGAATACAGAAGCGGCTGGGAAGCCACTCTAGAGGACATGACAATCGTCGAGAACATTTCCAAAGATACGCTGTTATTTCTGCAAACGCACAAACGCATCTGGCCGGCAAGCCAGCGAGACGCATTATTCTGGTCGCACATGCGTCGAGTGTCGGACGATCAAGATCGTGACGCACATGATCTGTGGATAGTTTGTAACCACAGTACTGAACATCCCGATTATCCGGTAAATAATACGTTTACTACAAAGATTTTTTCCGCATTCCGGTTGTTAAGTGAAATTATACGTTGCAGCCAAACGCGGGTAAATGCGTGAGAGTTTATCTGACGGTTTGTCTTGTATGCCAAACATTCATTGATCCCCCGAAGGACGAGGAGGAAATAAAGAGAGAGAATATTACCTGTAAAATAACATATTGTTCAGTTGGTGAGTATTAATCGTTCACAATCGCTTATTAACATAATTGATAATGTGAAACGCCTGAATATATAAAATTCGATAACTATCTTCATACACTTTAATTCGAATTTCAGTAAATCCGGGTGGTTGGGCTCCAGCATCTGTCTTACGGGCCGTTTACAAAAGGGAGTATCCAAAGTTCCTTAAGCGTTTCACTAATTTTTGTATTGATCAATGCAAAAACAAGCCGATCACATTTTGAATGTGATTGGTAAAATAAGAAAAATTTTAATGTTTTCCATCCAACTCCTTATTCTATCTCAAAGTGTCTTCACGTAATTACTGTAAAAAAAAAACAAAAAACAAAAAAAACAATTTAGTATTGTTACATACTGTAGGAGTTATAGAAAAGCTATTACGTAAGTGAAACTGTTTTGTATATTATCTTTTTCTTTTTTTATTTGCTTAAGATAATCGACTTATATAGCTTGCGAATGGGAGAGACCGTTATATTAAAGGCCATTTATGATATAAGTGAGTGTATAACAATTGTATACACTTGAAAAGATAAAAAAAACTTCACATTACAATGAGGCACGCGTGGCTACAGCACCGTTTACAAATTATCCTTTCTTCTTCGAACAACAGCCTGTTATATTTGTTATACAAAAACGCTATCGCCCAGTTGTACAAATCTTTAACAAAAATTGGATACATATACATTTATCTCTTGTTACACATTACATCCAATTAAATGCTGAATTGTATGATACAGATTATACTGTTATTTTTATTTATACATAAAAATGTGTACATGCTATGCGATATAAAGATCACATGGAAAAACGTAATAAAGACTGTTGTAGATTTGTTGAATAATAATCATTTTTACACCTTGTTATTTCATAAATCTTTAATCTCGTATAAGAGCTCTTTTGGATTGTACATAGAATCTAAAAAGCATAAACAATTTCTTTTGTGAAATAAATTTATTTCCATCAGTTAGACAAAGCTGAAAAAATTATTCTATATCATGTATACATTATGTACAAAATATTCTCCTTCAAATCGTATCATTTATATATATTATTAAGTAGCATTAATAAAAAAATTTTTATTCTTAGAGAATAACTTTTTAATGAAATATTATTAAATTCTGAAAGTAGAAAAAAACTGTAAAAAATTATAATTAACTATACAATATATTTCGCAAAGGAATAGTAAAATGCAAATGTATCATATTTGAAGATTTCTTACATATTACATGAAATAATAAATGTAACAATTAAAGTCTTAGATTGCGCGCGCGTGTGTGTGTGTGTGTGTGTGTGTGTGTGTGTGAGTGAGTGAGTGTGCAAACACATGATCATATACACAAGAAACATGAAAATCAGATTTTAAAACATTCTGTTACGAAATATCTCACAACGCAATTGTAAAATCAAAATCACATCTATATTTCCCTCTTCGTATAATTTTGTGTACTGTCATTTATAATAAGAAAAAGTTGTAAATATTTTAACATTCCATATATATTGATCCGACTATTTAATTTCAAACATTTTATTAACAACAGATTAATGATTATTTTTTCTTATATTACGAATTTATGATTCATATATAATAGGGTACGAAACAATAACTTTAAGTATAAAGTCACATGTCGATTATGCTTGCGATTTGTTATGTATCGCCATAACGAAAAGGTAGAATGTCTTACACCGAGTAAGAGATTGCTTTTACAATTTCAATTATATTTACACTTCTTGGGAAGAAGTTCGACAAGTGCAAAAGAAAAAGAGGCATGAGCTTTTCATCAGATATCACGCAATAAAAAATAAAAATTAATATCTTGAATATTTACCTGAGAGCAATAAATATACATCAAATGCGACATTATTTCATACTTGATTGGCGAAATATCTTAACTGTCTAAAATATGACATAGTCTTTCGATTGCATTAAATTAATATATCATGTCGATTTATTTTTTTTTTTTTATTTTTTTTTATTGAAATCATAGCACTGGACTATGTATTTGAAATCTTTCAGCTGTCATTAATTGAAATTATATAATTTTTAACCAAAAAATGCAATACCAGCTTAATATCAAATAGCTAGTAGTCTTTCAAAGTGTCTTGCTTTTTCACAATTATACAACAAATTATCTGCATAAAAGTGTTGAGAGCAACTCTCAAGAACATTTCCTTAGATATAAAAAACACTTGATTGCCCATTAAAAACTTTTGTAACCTATAATGACTTTCTTTATGATTCATAAGAGCCTAATTTCTTTAGTACACTGAGACCTTTCTCTTCGTACTCTTCCCGCGTTATCCATACGGAATCTCGGTCTTTCGTTATTTCCGCTAACACAGCACCACCCATGAAGACCATATCCTTACGTCGAGGTGAGTCTTCAATTTTTATTTTAAATTTCTATAAAAAGATAAAGTGTAAGGATCTGTAATATTACTAAATTCTCTTAAATATACGACATACTTACATTCAATTTAGTAGTATCATTCTTTAATACTCTTTGGAGATAAAGTTGCTTAATTTCTCGTTCGAGTCTTGACGGAAGCCCAGGGTACATCGTACTACCTCCACTCAGAACAATGTGCTTGTACAACTCGCTTCTGATATCGATATCGGCCGCTTGAATTGTGCTAAAGACCAGCTCGGCTATCCCCTGCGCTTCGACATTAATTAAATGCGGCTGGAAGAGAGCTTCTGGCGCTGCAAATCTCTCACCGCCTACTTTTATCACACGTCCGTCAGGAAGCTGAAAATATATATGATAATTCATAAACTTTAATTCTTAATACACTTTATTTTATTAAGCATACAGTGTATATTTTATTAACGTTTTATTATGTAGACAAAAATATAAATAAATAATATATAATTCTACTTACAGTATAAGACTCCACCAGCACAGTGGTTTCAAGAGCTAACTTTTCTTCCGTTTCTATATTATAACCGATATAACACAATTTCTCCTTCAACATTCTAACCGTTTCGAAGTCAGCCGAGTGATTGAATGCGTAACCACGTAGCAGTAATAATTTGATTAGGTACATAGTAATATCGCGTCCAGCTATATCTAACCGTCGAGTTAAATGTGGCAAAGCGTATTCCTCAAACACGGGACAAATGTGCGTGACACCATCACCGGAGTCCACAACGACACCGCTGATCAATCCTTGAGCGTATAACGTTAGTACTGCCTGAATCGCGATATATGTACCCGCGAAACCATATTTCTCGAACATTACCTAAAATCATTTTGTAACAAAAATTTAAAAATTTTAGATATAAAAAAACAGATTTTAAATTTAAAAACATATCTATTTACACACAAAGAATTACCTAATATTATTTTCATTAATTTCCAATCATATAATCTTAACGTAATTTTAATTAGTGTGAGAATAATGCGGCAATTTACCTCAATCATCTTTTCTCTGTTTGTAATAGGATTCATCGGTGGCTCAGTTAACAGAATTTTACATTCTCTAGGATTAATATTCATTTTCTCTTTGCCAAATGTATAGTCCCACACATGACACATGTCCTCCCAATTTCTGTCGAGTTTTAATTACATAATGATTCATATAAAACACATGTATATGATATAAGCAAGTTGCATACCTTACAATTCCATTTTGCATGGGATAACTTATCTCTAACATAGAACGAAGCTTGCTCGCTTCATCGCCGACCATTAAATCCTGTGACAATAATGTGTAATTATCAAAACTCTATAAATATCACAAGAAATACTATATTCATCATATGTAAATATTACTATCTTAAACAGTTACTATATCTGTGAGATATTTACTAGCGTAGTATGGAAAATTTACGCTAAAATTGAATAATAATATCCAATTAAATATCCAAAACAATTAACAATTTCTAGTGTATCGCGCTTTACTTGATCAAATTTTGTAACAAAAATTTAAAAATTTTAGATATAAAAAAATAATTTTAAATTAAAAAACATATCTTTTTACACAAAGAATTATCTAATATTATTTTCATGAAATGTTTTAGTCAACAATAAAATGACACATAGTATGTTATATTTGTGAGACTTGTGTTATGAAATGCACTTCTCAAAAGTATGATACATTAAATTAGCTTCCGAGTGTGTGTACCTAATGTGTGTATATACTTTGGAAAAGTTTGTCATTATATGAGACACTACTCCCATACCTACAGTCCAAAAAAATTGTTTTTTCACTAAAACACTGATGTAACAGGTGTATATAGCGTCAAAAAAGGTACAGTAAACTTACAGGCATGTTAAGCACATCCTATGACAGCAAATGTAAGCACACAAATAGATATTAGATAATTATAAGAAGAATATAATATGTAAGTACCCACACAAGTACAAATTGCAGATACGCGATAGAAGTATTTATAAATATATAAATAGCAAATACTACTGCATCAAAGTATTATCATACAATATTTATGTCAACAAAGAGTTTTTAAGCTCTTTTGCGAGAAAAACATATATATATATATATATATATATGATACAACTAGTAGATTTATTCCATGTAATATAAAATCATTCACTTAACGATAATGTTACAATCTAATATAAGAAATTCTTACTAAACCCATTGGACAATTAAATATTAAGAATGCTATGAATAATGTTTATCTTACATTTGAAATATGTATTCCTTTTTGGGATTTGTTAGTAAACGTCATTAGTATCTCAAACTGTCTTATTTACATCAGTAGACAAGCGCATAGATTATTTTCAGTCAGTCTTAAGCACTAGGGGGGCGGGGAGGGCACACGACGTAATACTATATAATGGACTTACACGAACGCAATATTCTTGCTGAAAATATATAATTGTTTGTATTAATCATTTACATATCGCTAAACACATTTAAGCGTTTTAAAGCTCAGAAGATTAGGTGAACTTTATATATAATTTAACTATCATATCAGAGAAGAACTTATTACTCTTACTTTTTTGATTAATTTTAATAAATTGATACTTTTTATTTTTAGTACAATTCTATAAATTGATTGATTGTATTACCAAGACTAAAATTTTTTACATTCATGAATGTGATTGTTATATACATATTAAATACTTGTGTGCGTATGTGTGTGGATTTTTAGAAATTTAAGAAATTAAATATTTAAAAAATGTACATATATATTGATGAAAAACATCATTTCAACGAATCAGATATTATCAACTACCATGGATTGCATTTACATCGAGACAAAATTACAATTATTGATCCTATCTCTAATTTTATGCCTTTATACACAAGTTTATAGATCTAAAATAATAAACGTACCTTCACGTCGATATCGCCGATCTTATTGACAGCTCTAATTATTGGTCGTCCAACTATAGATGGAAATATATGGGCCGGAAAATTTGCACCAGCATATCCGCACTTGACAAACTGCAATTAAAAACTGCATCAGTATCCGAATGCATAAACTGTCCGGTTTGTTACACGATTAACTTAATGCATCTCTCTTATCAGAATAGAAAATTCTCACAGGATCTGTTTTTCGCAAAAAAAGAAAACGACCAAGCAGTCTTACCCCGGTGCCATTGTCGCAAACGATGATCTTCCTCCCCTTGCTGTCCATGTCGATATATTAATCCTTTCAATGATATTTCGTTTCTCTCTTTTAGGTCGCTCTCATATCATCAGCTCCATCAAATGACTAATACCTGTGAATGTTAGGGCGTTACCGGCGGGTGACACTAAAGCAACGGATATATTTCTCGATAAAATTACCGTTTCGTATCACAGTTAGGGATATGTGCCAAACACGCTATGTGTCAAGCGAAATCCGGTGAAAATTGAAAAAATATTCTTATCGGCAGACGAAGATTTACTCCGCGCATACGAGAGACAGTAGTGAACAAACGTGTCCGAATAAACTCAAATCGAGAGCTGCCATCGTTGTATAAAAAAAAGGCCTGCTCTCCTCTAACTTTAAACTTATCCATAATTCGGTTCGTGATTTGTCCAAAGTGGCGTAAATATGGTGTCAAATTTGTTGTACAAACTTGAAGCACATTCATGATATGCGCTGTCCTGTCTAAACAGTTATACATCATGACGTAAATCTGTATTAATTTGGTTAGTTTGGCATTTTTAAGTGTTTGTGAAATGTTGAAAGTAAAATGAAAACATACATAACAGCTTATGTATTTTAAAGTAAAATATATTAAACTAATTAGTGAATACGTAATTCTAAAATTTGTTAATTTTTTTAATAAATGGCTATGAAACACAGCCTTTTGTAAAATTTAATTAACGGATATGTGACCTGTAATCATTTAACTATAAATTTTATTTAAAAAATTAATTATTACACGATAGAAAGAATATATATTTTTTAATTGTAATGTTATAATAAAAATATAAACATATATGTATTCATGATTTTGCACACTAAAATATGCTGTATATTAAAATTATTCAAGGGGTAATACAATTTTCTTTTCTCTAATAAAATATGCAATTAACTCTTTTACACTTATCGATACTTTGTTCAATACATTATTTGGATGCTCTATATTTTCACCTGACAATATGTTTATAACACCAGGAGGTATCTGACAGTGTGAAAACACATCACAATATTTTACAAAAGAATGTGAAAATGAACTTCTATCATGCGTTATAATAACAGAATTGCCATAAATTAAATTTATAATAAGGTTGCGTAATGCTTGTGAATTATCCTCAAGAATAATAATACCTCTTGGCATATAAGTTATTTTTACTTCTAATCTTCCAATTTGTAAACACTGCAATGGTAATTCTGAATAATATACAAATTTTAATGTATTTAATATGATACTTGACAATGTATCTTCACTAAAAAAAGAAAGAAGATGTCAAGAAGCTATCATCAAGAATAGTAATGTACACATTTATATAAGGTATTAAGAATATAAAAATATAAACTTTTTAATAACATACCCTTTATTTTCTAATATGGATGCAAATTTTAATAAAGATTGTTCTCTAGACTCCGTAGACCAAGTATTATAAATTTTCAATCCTTGCTCAGCAGACTGAATGCATTTAGAAGCATCTTCTCTATAACAACAATAAATTAACAGATTGCAAATTTAATATATCAATACTACACATCTTAAATTTGAAAATTAATACAATTAAGATTAAGATTAAACAAGAAATGTACATTGTTGCATTTGCCCACAAAGAGTCATCATGTATCCAATATTTGCCTTTTACAGGCTTGTGCCACGTGCCATTGTAAAACAAATTAAAAATTTGTACTTTTTTGGATGTGTTTCTATCACTTTTACTTGCATTTTTATATAAATCTAGATTGGAAAGAAGAAATTGATGCAATGGACCTTGAAATAATCTCATATAAGGCAAAAACACCAGACCACCACAAAAATCCATGTGCGTATTTATGAATATAATGTCTCTCTGTAAAAAACAGAAATCTTTTAATAACGTGATTTGAAGCAAATTGACAATATTGTGTAATATAATTTAAACGATATACCTTTAAGGATGCTGCTAAACTTTTTGCACCTGTAATATCCTCTGACCATATAGACATTATACTTATTTTATTTATTTCCTTAAGTGTGAGTAACTCCTCCTTTGTTTGAAATACACGAATATGGTGATTAAGAGACTGCTTAAAATATTTATTTAAAAGCAATGTAAATTGCTCTTGTATTGATTTGTGAATCCAGATTTTATTCATGCGAGTTCCTGTTATCTTTAATTGATTAACAACTGCATGAAAATCTGAATCTTTGTAAATTATCATGTCAATGGTCTGACCTGTATAAATTTTAAAAGTCTTGATTTAAAGTAAAAACATATTTTTAAATTGTATTTTAAGTATATTTCCCTTACATGAGAATAACTGTTTATAATTATCTCTATGAATGTTTTTATAAAAAGCATCCTCGGCTGATATAATATTCGAATCTTCTCTAAAATATAAAAGTAATTTATTTACAAAGTTTATGATAATTTTAATATTGTTAAAAAAATTACTAATTTATATTATATATAATGTATAAATTGATGTATTTACTAAATGTAAAAGTATACTTTTATTAGATAGTTACAAGATTGCAGTGTGCAAAAATAATTGCATTTCATGATCTGGACAGATATAGAAGAGTGTATATAATGCATCCCACAAATCATTTAAGAATGATACGTCTAAAATAAACAAAAATATACTATACTTTTATTTGACAATGCAAAATCTTTGTTTCTATTCATAATTTAAATACGATGTTAAGCTTGCTTTATAAATGATCTATAGTTGCAATAGAATTGTATTTACAATTTTATGTGCGATGTAATGCACAAGAAATATTTAAAGTGAGATCGAAGAAACGAATAATATATAATGTCAAAATGTCTTATTTTAAGTATAATATTACCAAACTCGTCGATAGCTTTGCAAGCCATCTGTTTTGTATTACCAAAATGTTGTAAAAATTGAATAATAGTAGAAACTGTATCTATATGTTTAAAGACAGATTGAAAAAGAGATAGATTCTTTTCTATTATGGATGCTGTTTCAAGTAGTCTATAAGTACAGAAGACAAATATTAAAGAAAGACGATGATAGAAGCAATTTTACATTTTTATCATATCCTATTCACACTATAAAATTAAGTGTAATTATTTACCTGTCTGCGATATTTATAACATTGCTAATTGTTATATTCTTGGTTAAAATGGATATTTCTTTTAGCGCTTTCTAAAAATAGAAAAAAATAGGGTATTACTTATTAAGCCAAAAATATATTAGAGGTTTCCGATATTAAATACTAAATCTTATAATCTAATAATAATACGTTGCGTATTGTACAAGTGTCCTCACTTACTTGCTTGCTTTTATTATATTTTAGATCAAAATAACATTTCTCTACAGCTTTTACTCGTTCACCCATGATTATAATTATTTAATACTTGTACAATGATGAAAAAGACCCGTATGTGTTTCCAGACGTTACCATTTCACAGTACACATAATAACAAATAAAGTGTCACTTTCGTGCTTATAACAAAGGTACTCTGATTCGGAGAGCTGGAGGTTTCAAATTGGTGTTTACATATTTGTATGTGTCGGTTTCATAACGGACACATAAATCGGAATTACAATGAATTACGGAAAAGAAAACGTGAATTTGTTACACAATGCTAATAGTTAATACTAAAGTCATAGATGATAAAATAAAGAATGCATCGGGCACTGCGTGGATATGTATGTACGTAATAACGATATAACGCACGTAATACAGTAATCATATTATTTGATGGCGATATTAGATCTATTTCTTGTGGCTGCATCTCATACTTTCTTTTCTCTTCTCTTCTTCTATTTAACGCCTAATTACACAGTTATCGGTCATTTTAAATGCAATATAGAATGTAAGATAGGGACAATTACAAAACAGATGTCTTATTAAATTAATTAATTACACATATCAATTATTATGGGAAATATTTTAAAAAATTTATTGCTACATGACAGCAAACGTTATTTAAAATTACAACATTGCAATAAAAATTTAAGCATATATATGTGTCTTCGTCATTTTCACACATCAGACCATGTATGTTATTAAAATTAGTTAAGGTGGAGTATAACTTTCCTCTGTCTAGTAATATATAACATTAACTGTTTTATCGGTATCATCTTTGAAAGAGGGGATGAATAATACTCATTTTCACATGACAATACATTTATAACACCTGGAGGTATCCGAGACATCGAAAACATATCATAATACGATGCTAAAGCGCACGAAAATCTATTACACATTATAATGACAGAATTACCCATAACTAAACTTTGAATCAATTCGCTAAATAAGGTAACATCATCGTTGCACGTAAGAACAATGACGCCTCTTGGCTCACAAAACGTTGCTATGTCCAATTTTTCAGTTTGCAAACTTTCCGACAAAATATCTTCGAAATGTGAAAGATTTATCCATGACAATACCACTTGTGACAAACTAGATTTACTATAAAGAAAAACAAGAATATCCAGAAAGTGTACAATATATTTAAGAATAATTAATTAAATGCAATTTTTATGCTGAAGCATAAAAATATAAATTACGAGAAATATAAAAATTTTTTAACAACATACCCTTTATATTCTAATATGGATGCTAATTTGGATAATGTTTGTACTCTAGAATCTATAGACCAAGTACTCCAAATTTCGAATCCTTTCTTAGCCGAATCAATGCATCTGTGAATATCTTCTCTACAACAATAAATGAATGGATTGTAAATTTAATATATCAATTTTATTATATATGTTTTAAACAAGATTAAACTAGAAATGTACATTGTTGCATTTGCCCACAAACAGTTATCGCGTATCCAATATTTGCCTTTTACAGGCTTTTGCCATGTGCCATCGTAATACATGTCGTAAATTGGACCTTTATGTTCTTCTGATGATATGTCTGTATCATTTATATTTTCATAAATGCTTTTATTGTGCAAAATAGCTTCATATAATGGACCATCAAAAATTCTGGTATATGGCAAAAGCACCACACTATCAAAGAAATCCATATGCGTATTTATGAATACAATATCACTCTGTTAAAAACAGCAATTGTTTTAATAACGCTTGAAACAAATTGACAGAGTATTTTGTAATATAATTTAAATGATATACATTTAAGGAGGCTGCTAAATTTTTGGCGGTTACAATATCTTCTGACCATATAGACACTATATTCATTTTACGCATTTCATAAGGTATAAGTAACTCCTCCTTCGTTCGAAATACGTGAATAAGATGTCTAAAAGTACGCTGAAAAGATTTTCTTAAAATCGTTATAAATTTTGCTTGAACCGATTCTTGAATCCAAATTTTATTTAAACGGACCCCTGTTAGCTTTAATTGATTAACAACTGCATACACATCTGAGTCTTTGAAAATTATCATTTCAAGCACTTGACCTATACAAATTTGAAAAATCTTAATCACAAGTTGAAAACACCATCAATTCTAAATTGCATTTTAAATACATTTCCCTTACATGAATATAACTCTTTGTAATTATCCTTATGGATCTTTTTATAATTGTAACTATTTTCCAGAAATGAAGATTCGCTAAAATACAAAATTTATTTTAAAAATTTATGATAATTTTGATGTCATTTAAAAGAAAATAATCAATCAACTTATAAATTGACTTTGTATTTACTAAATATAATGATATTTTATTAGATATTTACATGATTGCAGCGTGAAAAAATAATTGTATGTCACTATTTGTAAAGAGAGCGAAGAGTGTGTATATTGCATTCCAAATGTTTTCAATTGCTTTGTCTAAAATAAATAAAATTAAATGTATTTTTATCTGTAACAATATATCTGTTTTATGTTTTTTTCTATGTTTTTATTCACAATTAAGTTATAAAGTTACTCATTTTAGTTGTACATCTCGCGATAGAATTCTGTTTATATAATAATTTTATGTATAGTAAAATACAGAGAAAGCATTTAAAAAATCAAAATACACACATGTACAAAATATATATTACTGATATGTATTTTGTACGTTTGTATTCTAATTCTCTAAATGTTTTTTATTACATAAATTCATAATTTTCTATCTTGAATTTCATTCTAAGTTATACGTTATTTAAAGTGCGATTGAAGAAATGATTAACGTAATGTTAAAAATTTTCCCAATTTTAAATATGCTATTACCAAATTCAGGAGAATGTTTATTATTAAGCATTTGTGCATTAATAATTTCTGAAAATATGTATTTCAAGAAGTACTTAATGGTAATAGTTGAATCTATATGGTCAAGAACACTATTGAAAGATTGCTGATTGCTTTTTATTGAATTTACTGCCGCTATCACCCTATAAATACAGAAACAAAATATTAACAATAATAAAAATAGAAGCAATTTTTACAGTACTTTTATCGTATCAAAGTTTACATCAAAGTTGAATACTTATTTACCTCTGGTTTATGGTTTCTAAATTTGAATTTATTATTCGTTCGGTCTTAATTAAATTGATTTGATTCTTCAGTGACTAAAGATACACATAGAAAGTACTATTACTTATTTTATTGCAAATGTAGATTTATAGTATTTTGTCTCCAATATTAAAAGTAGCTTTTGTAATCTATTAACAATACGTATAAGAGTTTCTACTTACTACATTATTCTTTATATGATATTCCAGATCATTATAATACTTCCGTACAAGTGTGGATCGTAGGCTCATGATGATAAGTAATTAGTTTAAACAATATCTACAAAATGATTGAAAAAATTTATATGTATTTCCAGTAAATCGTTACTGTTACACTCATATACTGATTGCACTGATGAAGACGATTTTGTTCTTGTAAAAAAAAAATGTTTTAGTCCCAGTTTTTTTTAACGAGTGGGGTTTGAAACTGGTATCAGATACTGTTTACGTAAAAAGAAACAAACTACCGACCTAGAGATTGATCGAATCTACAAACATTGATAACATAATCGATATTTTGTATGTCGATATTTTGTAATATCGATGTTTGATGCATTGGTCTGATATTGACTGCGTTCCGAAATTCACTGCCAGTACTAAAAATCTACAATATACATAACGTGAACTATAGATTTCCAGTACTGACAGACTGAATTTTGGAACACAGCCATTGTCTATCCTAAGAGGGGGAATATATAAACTTTCTAACCTGCCGTTGCCCGCCACGTACGAGTTGCATGTCGCGGCTATATTTTATCGCAACGGACTGACGCGTTGAGAAACGGCCGGGCCTCTGTGTTATTTTACATGACGTTACGTTCGTTTGTGAAATGGCCACTACTAACAAACACTTCAAGCTGCTCGTATGCGCGGCCGGCATATTCGTATTTTATTTTTATTTCGGGATACTGCAGGAAAAGATCACACGCGGACAGTATGGTGATGGGGAGAACCGCGAGAAATTCACGTATATGTTTGCTCTGGTCTTCGTTCAGTGCCTGGTGAATTATATATTCGCCAAGACTATCCTGTTGACAGTGATGAAGCAGGGCGAGGATACCACGTCGACTCTGTACTACGCGCTGTCCGCCTTGACGTATTTCCTCGCTATGGTGTGCAGTAATATGGCGTTGCAATTTGTCAGTTATCCGACGCAGGTGATCGGTAAAGCCGGCAAGCCTATTCCTGTCATGATACTTGGAGTGTTGCTTGGAAAAAGGGTATAATCTATTTGATTTGAAAAAGGCTTGCGAAGCTGTTTTGCGTACACTGAATTTTCTACTGTTACTGCTGTTACTATGTCTCTTTTTTTTGCAGGTGTATCCAGTTAGGAAGTACATATTCATTCTTTTGATTGTCATTGGAGTTGCGTTATTTATGTACAAGGATGGCAATGTCTCTAGCCAGAAGCAGTCCGATACACGATTATCGATGGGAGAATTGTTGTTATTGCTGTCGTTAACGATGGATGGATTGACGAGTGCGGTACAGGAACGAATGAGGGCAGAACATAACTCGAAATCGGGTCATATGATGCTCAACATGAATATCTGGTCTGTTGTATTTAGCGGTACAGTGATCCTTATTTCCGGAGAGCTTGTCGAATTTGTTGCTTTCTTGCAACGATATCCTTCCACTGTATGGCATATAGCAACGTTTTCCATAGCCGGAGCGTTCGGACAATATTTCATATTTTTGACAGTAGCTGAGTTCGGTCCATTGCCATGTTCGATTATAACCACTACTAGGAAGTTTTTCACCGTTTTAGGCTCTATATTAATTTTTGGCAATAATCTCTTGCCTAGACAGTGGCTAAGTACCTTTGTAGTATTTTCAGGTTTATTTTTAGATGCCATGTATGGTAAAGATAAAACTAAAAAAGATATTGTTAAATAGGATGTGATAATTTTTTTTCTTTCAATATTTCTTTACAATAATAGTCCTTTAAAGGGTACTAAAGGACGATAGTTTTTTAAGGAATGTATACTTCCAGCGTTTAAGTTATTGTTGTACTGCTAAAAGCGTTTGTAATATACTAGAAACATGTTAGGATTTCTAATCTTGGATATATATGAAGGAAAAAACAATAGCGTTAAATTGTTTTTATCTACTTGTGTCTTTACAAGCGACAAGAAACGATTCTGTAAGAATCCTTGGATGAAAGAGAATTTTTTAAGGATAATTTTCACTACAATTACACAAAGCTGGTTCAATGTCAAAAGCATTGAAAAACAGATATGTATATTATATGCAAAAATATGTACAAGTATAATATTTTTTATCGGTTTTAATAGTCCTTTTTTCGAATCAAGAAGCAAATTTAATATTGAACTGAGAATTTTTATGTTTTCACTATTTAATAGGCTTGTATCTACTGGAAGGGCTTCCTTTTTTTTAATAGATAATAATAATTCCTTAATGCAGACATTGAATTATGACGTTAGAAGCAAAAATCATGAATGAATGATACAATGCGAAGAAAAGCCCTTGCATTGTATTATTGGAAAACGTGATTAATAATGTGTGAAAAATAACTTGTTTCAACTTGTTTTAGTGAAGGAAAAGAATTTTCTACTTTCTCACTTTTGATCTCATAATTCAATAAAACTATAATACAATGAGGGATCAGGGATCCCTTAAAATCAGGGTCTAACAAGATGGAAAGAATAGGTGAATCTTCTGTATGCTGTGGATTTATTTCAGAATGTATTCTACGGTGTGTGCTCTGTGTGTGTGTGTATATATATATATAATGTAACTTGCTAAAACAACCAACTTGTACATAACAAAGAAATATAATGCACAAAGAGATGTGACAATCCTATTATTATTATTAGAAAAATATAATTATGCATGTTTAATCACTCTTATGGAGAATTGGTTTACTGCCAGTAATTTCATTGATAATTAATCATGATTTATGTAATATATTTACAAAATTTTCACATTTAGTGTATTGCATGTGTAATGTGCAATTACATGTATCATCTCGTGAACAGATCTTTTATTCGATGATTTGTCTTCGATAGCACTAGGTGAACAATTAAATTATTTAATAAATATTTGAATGAAACATTTCTTTTCTCTCTCTATCTAATCTAATAACTATAATAACAAACTTGGAGAACATCCTGTGACAAGTAGTGCCAACTGCCAACAAATTTGCTCTGGATACTTTTGCGTACGTTATTCACCCTCTAGAGGTCGTATATCAAACTCGATGGTACGCTCGATACCCTTGAGGCCGAGGTTGTAAAATGTACTTGGCCTACTTGCGTACTATCGTAACGATGCGCGGAAGCGTAATAGGAAGGTAGCACCACTCGAGGGATGGCAAAGGTTGACACAAGAGCGCGGACAAACTTATCGTGAGAAAAAAAACATGTGCTATAATTAATCGCGAATCGTTAACCGCTGACACGATATATGCGCGTAAAGATATAGATTTGTTCCTTTTCCGTTTTCTTTTCAGCCACAGAAACCTGTAAACAGTAAAAGTAATATAAACACTGTGAAGTAAAGTATATCGGTTTTAAAATAATATATATTTTCATATCTATGCTGTACATAAATAATTATATTATTTCTGCATTTAAAGTGACAAGTGATTCAGACAAGTATGTAAATTTTTTTTTTCTTTAATCGTACATAATTGAATTTCTTTTCGCTCCAGAATCTTTCTCGTTCTAAGCGAAGTGCGAAAAAAGTGCAATCGAAAGGAACCAACACACATCGAATATTGGAGAGAAAAAAAAGGAATGAAGAAAATTTAGATTAAAGTACAAGAAACGCAGCTAAAACAAGCAGATTTTAAACTTCGGTGATATTTGTGTCTCTCGATTCCGCTTCAATCACGTCGCAGTTCGAAGCGAGCTCACGGAATAATGTCCTCGGTCATCCGCGGTACAGCTGCCGAATCGTCTGTCGGGCGTGTAGCGACTTGCTACTAACGAGTGAGTCTACCACGCGTAGCGCATCCCGACGCGTTCCCGACGAAGCGCGTGAACATGTGTCACGCGTGCGATGAACGCGATCACTTGAAAGTCGCGACTTCCAACTCTCTTTTATCGCGGTGAGTATGCTGTGCAAACAAGTGCGCCGTCGATCATCCGACGATTGAGATTATTGGTGAATCTGTTTCTCTCAACTGCATCGTGTTACGCTTTTTCTCCACCTCTAACATCAATGAATGCGCGTTTGAAGTAAAATATGTGCTCTAGATTTCGGAATAGGAGAAAAAAAAGTAAAATGTGATGAGAATTTGCAATGCATGCAGCAACAAATGTGTGAAGATAGAAGATGTGCAAGAAACAAATTTTTTTATAAGCAAATAGCACTTTTGACATAATCGCGAACAAATTTGGACCGCGCTGGAGCCACTTGATCGGTTCATTTCATTTTCGCCTGTCCTTGCGTTAATTGATCGCGGTTGCCGTTGCTGAACGTAGACGACGATAATGATGCGAGGTTAACTTGCCACATGATGACGAGCCGTCAATTTTCCCGCCGATTTCGAATTATTTGCTTGTACTGGCGTTTCGAGGTTAGACCTGTGACAACTGATCGACCGAATTCGTCTGGCAATGAAATTCCGCTGATTCGGGAAATAAGATAATAGGATCGTCTTTACACTGCAAATTGTATATTTTATCATGCTAAAAATTAAGTTTTGTTTGCATGTCTTTTACATAAATTTCGGTATAAGTAAAAATCGGTATTTGTTGGTGAAATTCTACATTCCGCCGCAAAACGAAATAAAAGATCTTTTTCTCCGCAATTTATTTTTAACGCAATAATTTTTATGCTTTTTATAATTTTTCAGCTGGCATGGTTCGTCGAAACAGAGGGGGGAGAAGATGAGAGAAATTATGGTGTAACTCCAATACGATATTGTGACAATCACAATTGTTCAAACTACAGTACCTTTTAGCATAGTTTACATTGTTGTTAACAAATTAAGATGATTGTCAAAAACAAATCCTGTCGAATGGTGAGTAATGCGTAATATTTCTGAATAATTTCTTATTGATCACAGATGTAAATTTCTGAAGAATTATTAGTTATCTCTCACTTTACATCACTATTATTTTATTTCATTATTGAGTTTTGCAGATTTGTTAAATGATTTCTAATTTATATCATGCAATTAGTTACACAACTAACTAAAAATTAATTTGCAAAATATGCAAAGAATAGTAAGATTTCAATAGAAACCTCTTATCTGACGGAATTATCTTATCTTTATTGCATATGAGTTTTCTGATTCTTCTTTTTATTATTTCTTGAGTATTGCTATGTTTACATAGTATATATGTTCTCGTCATATATTCTAAGTGAAAATTTCAAAGTATCATTGATATGCGCAAGATTTGATATACAAGTAGTTCAGAATAAGAATGTCCCACATATTGCATTGTCTATTGCATTTTAGTTTTTTTGTTTTTTTTTTCCTCATTATCATACTATTTAAGTTAAAGTGAATCCAAGCTTCATCTAATACGAAAATGGCAATTGGAAGTATTATCTGTGGTGCAAACACTCCAAAAGTGAAGAAAAAGAAAGTTAAGGTATTTTATTTTATCATTGAAATTGTTTCTTAGTAATTTTCAGTGATACTCTTATTTTAAATTCTTTATATTTTTAACATTAATATGTCTAATCATTATTATTACACATTTTATTTTTTCACAGTTAGATAATCACATAACAGTACAACAAATAAGAATATTATAATAAGAGATAATGACAAAAATTTGTAATTTACAACTAATGTTGACTCTTTTATTACTATAACAACTGTTTCTTTATTGTATTACTGTACTTTTACAACTATGTTTTTATTTTTTGTCAAATTGTAGACAACTGAGCGCAGTTGGATAGAAGCAACATTTCAAAAGAGGGAATGTGCAAAATTTATTCCAAGTGCAGAAGATGAGCATAGGTAGGTTGAATTTTATTTGAAATGATTATAATGTGCGCGCACACACACACACGTGTTTATATATATATATAATTTTCATATATATATGGAAATATTTAAATAATGCTTACACTTGTAATGCTTAAGAGTATACTATAAGATTTTATTTTGGTATTATTTTTAAATATTATAAAAATTTTCTGAGATTACAGTATAGATATCAGAATGTTGATAAATTTTTTGTTTAATCAAACGATACTTTTAGTATAATGCAAGCGTGTGCTATAGAGTGTGATTTATCATCAAAACAGAATTTAAGATGGGTACATACATGTATAATTTCATAGTATTTTTCATCAATCAATTTGTTTGATCTTTCTCTTGCATTTGCTTATGTTATTGGTGTCTAGCACTTGTATTGTCATGGTATTACAACAAGTAGAAACTATCCTAAATTATGATTTTTGTGCTTTTATCCACTTTGATACCAAACTAAAGATCGGAATATTCATATTTTGATCTCATTCATCTTCATATATGACAAATACTTATTTACTCGCCCATCCATTTCGATTTGATTTATTTTTTTTTTTGTTTCATTCCATTTGTAGGTTTGTACAGGTACAGGGAGATAAGAATGCTGAATATGATGTGATTACTACTTCCAGGTGAGAAACTCCTGCGCATCCTGCATTGACCTAAACTCCTTTCACCTCCATAATTTTCTTGATAATGCCATCTATGTAAAGGTAACACTCTTATGTATCAAACTTTGGATGTGGACATAATATGATGAATTCACATTTTTCCTGCCCTATGCTTGTCTCATTACATGAATCTTCCACATTTGATCATTGTCTTCAATTAAATCACAAAACTGCATTAAGCATGTTCTTTGAGCGTTTGTTCTCTCATAATCGTTTCTTTCATTCGTCATAAAAGAGGTGAGGTAGAAATGTGTATTCTATATTTACATTGTATATGATATTGTTACTTATTTTATGTATTAATATTGTATATAATATATAGTTTGGTAGCACCAAACTCTCTCTCATGCTTTATAGCATACGCATAATACAATGCCAACTTACTAAGTAACGTAGACACGTAACAACAAATATTTTTACCGAGATATACTATTATACAGGTGTTGCTGTGGCAATTCGTATACCCATCATTGTGGAACCGGGGCGGATGTTCAAAGCTACAGTCTGAGTAACAACAAGGAAAAAGACCGTGAGCAATGGTCTGCAGGAAAAAATACTCGTTCTTTCCCCACTGATGCGTATGGCACCATAGAGTTTCAGGGTGGTCCGCATCCCACAAAAGCACAAGTATATACTCAATATTCCTCATTGTTATTAATTTTATTTTAAATATTGCGCAATTACAAATGTAGATAACATTAATGTGTGACGATGATTATTTGCAGTATGTAAGATTGGCTCACGACACGCGACCGGAACCGATTGTACAGCTGCTGTGTCGAGAATGGAACTTGGGTTTGCCCAAATTGTTAATTACGGTCCATGGCGGACGGTCAAATTTCGAGCTTCAGCCGAGCCTGAAGAAAGTTTTGCGCAAGGGGTTATTGAAGGCCGCCAAAACGACGGGAGCGTGGATATTCACGGGAGGAACAAATACAGGTATATTTCTACACTTGTGAATGAAAATTTAACTTGAAAGGAACTTGTTCATTTTACAATATATGTCGACTCTCGTAGGCGTTACACGTCAAGTTGGTGATGCATTGTTGTTGGAACGCTCGCAACGACAGGGTCGTGTAGTAAGCATAGGTATTGCTCCTTGGGGAATTTTGGATAAAAGCCACGAGTTGGTCGGCCGTGGTGGCGAAGTATCGTATGATTGCGTCTCCTCGCCATGGTAAGACGCCATTGCATTAATAATGCAGAGACGCATTGCTAAAACACATCGTATCGTTTATGGAACTTTAAAATGTGTTTGTGTGTTACTTTGCAGGACCAAGTACACAGTTTTAAATAATCGGCATGCTTACTTCCTATTGGTAGACAATGGCACTGGCGGTCGATATGGCGCAGAAATTGTTCTCCGCAGAAGATTAGAGAAATACATCTCCAATTTGAAATTGCAACCATGTAAGTATCGTGTGATGGATCTAATGATCCAATGATGATCTTGTACTATTGGAGCTTTAATGCACCGATTGTTGCAGACACACACAGCAGCATACCTGTAGTCGCGTTAGTTATCGAAGGTGGGACGAATACAATTCGCGCAGTTTTGGAATACGTGACGGACGATCCGCCTGTACCGGTTGTAGTTTGCGATGGCTCGGGACGTGCGGCAGATTTAATCGCTTTCATGCACAAGTATGGACTTTTACATAATTTTGATTTAAAAAATATATTGTGTATTTTGTGCTTGCACACGCGCGGTGCACTTGTTATATAGATGGAGAGATGGACAGACCGGTGATGGGGAAGGACCGCTCGAGGGAGTTAAGGAGCAAGTTTTAGAAACAATTAAACGCACTTTTCAAGTATCCGTTGAACAGGCGAGCCAGCTCTGTTCGGAACTTTTGCAATGTACTCGAAAAAAACATTTGGTATCTATACTTTTTTCTCACAGATAAAATATATTTTTTATGTACGTGAATGTTTGATAAAAAATTTCTTGAATGATAATTGTGTTTGCAGATCACTGTATTCAGGATATCACAAGACAGGCCGCAGGAACTTGATCAAACCATATTGACGGCTTTGTTTAAATCGAAACAATTGTCCCCGGCGGAACAGTTGTCTCTTTCCTTAATATGGAACCGAGTGGATATCGCCCGAAGTGAAATCTTTGTGTACGGTCAAAAGTGGCCACCTGGTGCTTTAGAACAGGCCATGATGCAAGCGCTTCAGCATGACAGAATAGACTTTGTGAAACTTCTACTGGAAAATGGTGTATCCATGCGGAAATTTTTATCAATACCTCGTCTTGAAGAGCTGTACAATACGGTGAGTCAACTTTATTTCTGTAGCGACAGTCTTCCTTGGTAAACAATTTAAATATGGACACAGAAAGCGTTGTACGTTGTTCAGTGAACGGCGATTATACGTGTATATCTCTCATCTACATAAAGTGACGGAACATGATTCGAAAGTATAGTAAATCGATTTAAATTTATTTCTAAATAGAATTGAAAAGAGAATTGTGAAAACTATAAATTGTACTTACGGAAAAACATGCACATTGTTACATTTTACATGTTACATTTGTAATGTACATTATAATACTTTTTTGAAGACATGCATTCTTGATGCTTCTTTTGGTAAACTAAAAGAAATCTATTTCTTTTGGTAAACAGAATGATTGTTGAAGAGATTAGTGAAAAATTAAATTAGATAGAGTAGGTATTGCAATTTTTGTATGCGCATAAAATATAATGAAGAATTTTTTTCCTGATTAATTAGAAAGAAGGGCCTTCAAACACATTGGGCTACATTCTGCGCGACGTACGGCCAAACATTCCACGGGGCTACATGTACACGCTGCATGACATCGGTCTCGTGATTAACAAACTGATGGGCGGCGCGTATCGCGCGCAATATACACGCAGAAGATTTCGCGTTATTTATACGAAGGTGATGAAGAGATCCGGCGGTGGTCATCAGCAGCATATGCTGCACCGGAACAGCTGCGCTCCGAACTGTAACACGCGCTATTACGCGAGCTCCGGCGGAAAATCCGACAGTCTGACTATGAGCTTGCTCGCGGAAACATTACCGGCTAATCGCGACACTCCTCTCTTCGATTACCCTTTCAACGAGCTGCTTATTTGGGCTGTGTTAACGAAGCGCCAGCAAATGGCTTTATTGATGTGGCAACACGGAGAGGAAGCGTTGGCCAAGGCGCTCGTCGCACTGAAATTGTACAAGGCGATGGCGCACGAAGCGGCCGAAGACGATCTGGAAACCGAAGTTTACGACGAATTGCGCGGTTACGGCAAGGAATTTGAAAACATCGGTATGGATAAATAAAGGACATTTTCTTAAATGAATGAAGTAAATAATCATTATGTAACTTACATGAATTGTACTGAATCTCTTTCCCCTCCCGCCTCGTATAGCGCTTGAATTGTTGGACTATTGCTACCGACAAGATGACGATCAAACGCAGCAGCTATTGACTACAGAACTTCAAAATTGGTCGGGGCAGACGTGCCTGTCTCTCGCGGTCACGGCGAATCATCGACCGCTGTTAGCGCATCCTTGCAGCCAGATTATCCTGGCTGATTTATGGATGGGTGGTCTTCGCACACGTAAAAACACTAATTTAAAGGTGATTATTTGATCTGTTGCAACTTATTTTATTTCTAATTGGCCAATTAGATATCGAATGCCTGAAATATATGCATTTAAATATATCCTCAGGTGGTTTTGGGACTGCTTTGCCCTTTTTATATAACGCGATTGGAATTCAAGAGCAGAGAGGAGTTGCAGCTAATGCCACAGACGCAAGAGGAACATCTGATAGCTCTAGAAGACGAAAAGGAAGACAGCGATTCTGAACACAGTACACCAGCAGGACCGGATGTCGAGGTAATTATTTCAGTATATATATTATATATGTTGTACATAACACACATATATATATGTGTATGTATATATATAGAATATAACATTGTTTTTTTTCCAAACATTTTTCAGAGATGTACAGTTAATAATTATAACCTGATTTTTTTATATTTTCCATAAAAAATTGCTATAATTGAAGAACATGATGATGTGCGAAAGCATGTGAAGAAAATTGTACAGTGCAATTTAATACATCTAGTGTATATATTGCTAGTTAAAAAGTTATTCAAATGCCAAGTACATTGCGAAATGTTGAGAGATTTGCGTTTTGGAAACCATATAACCATATAACCAATATATAGGCATAACAAAATATGGTTGCTGGCTTTGAGGGAAAGAGAGGTTTCCGCCCCAAAATTATGTATGAGTTTACAACATACGTTCAATTTCTGATTGATATTCATTTAGATGATCATAGTCCAATTAATTGATGCATAGTCTTCACATTCGGCTTGTATTTTTTATTTTGATAGAATTATACAATACACACCATTTCATCGTTACAATCGAGAGAATACTATCTTATCTTTAGCTTTTTCTTTTGCTTACACTTTACGATATTTGCGCTATTAATAATTATTTATACTGTTGCACCACGCGTCGTAATTGCTGGGGATATATTTTGAATAAATATTCTTAAAAATTCTTAAAGAATCGTTCTCTCTATTGAACTAAGAGCGTACTCTGAACTATTTGTAGACTATGTGGGTGTGCATATTAATTGTTTTTTAGAAAACACGTCTACGCAGGAGCCTGAGTATACGCAACAAATCCAGCAGCCAGCAAGGCGTTAAGGTATATCTGTACTGGCCTGAAACGCAGTGATCCTATACGATAATCTTGCATTTTTCTGATGCACTCTTAAGCTACTGTTTAGTTATTTGTTTCTTGTTCTCATCAGAGTCATACGTCGCAATCATAGCAATTGTTTTATGTATGTTGCAACTTTTCTAACATTTTCATCTTGCAAAGGGTACGAAAACGATAATATGCATTCCCTCCACATGCTAAAAATCCATTAGCTTGTCATGATTATATCATATCTACCTATACATACGTATTATTAAGTGCTATCTATGATACTTGTATAGACTGTAAATTGTTTAAAAATATGAACAAATTTTTAGACTACTTTTTGACTGCTCTGTAAAAACATCAATTACTTTTATCAAAATCTATTCACATTCTTATTACAGATTCAATTGTTACATTCTTGTGTGTACACATATATGTTTTATTTACTAATATAAAAATCTGAAAATAATACTTTTTTTTATTATAAAATTAAAATTCTAAATAATGCAGAAATATTAGTGCAGAATTTGAAATTAAATTTACACTGTAGAAAATTAATAACTTTTCTTGCGCGTACACACGTGTTACAATATTATTGCGACAATTTTTAATCTCTCCTCTCTCTCCTCTCTCTCTCTCTCTCTCTCTCTCTCTCTCTCTCTCTCTACAGGTAATTTTTACTTCTTTCCAAAATAGACTATTGATTTATGCTTGTGCATTATAAATTATAATCGTAATTCACTTTTTTGAAAAAAATTATTATGTAATTTTCTATCTTTTTATTGAAATTTGATAGTCTTAGTTTATTTTTACTTGCAATCGATCAAACATACATTGAAATGTAAAGCGAAATATGTATATCTGTGATAAATTTAAGATCCTGATTTTAATTTTTGTTTGTTAATATTAATATTAATAGTTTCGGGCTAAATATGCATATTTAGTTATCAATTTTGTGCATACTTGTAAAATGTGCAATTTTTCTCGTTTTAGAAAACCGAATATTTATTATTCTACATCAAAGCAATTTTATCTGCAATATATTCTCTATTATGTCATGCTATTTTTTGACGAATGATTATAGCAGACTCTCCTCCTAAATTGAATTTCCCTCTTCCTTTTCATTATACGTTTCAAGTCGATATCAATATCCATTTAACCATGCACCAAGGTGTATCAAATTTTATGTATGTTATGTCCTTCCCAGTACACAAACGATCTCTCTGAATAATCCTTTACGCTTTTCTACAGGCTTTAATTAGCAACGAGCACAGTGCAACAATAATCAAGGAGACGATTGTCCAAGAGAATGGGAAAGTACTAACGGACAATGACGACGGAATACATCGCGCTTATGGCATTCGATCCGAATATTATAATAAAACGACCAGACCGTTAAGATTAAGGAAGAAATTGTACGAGTTCTATACGGCTCCAATTACAAAGTTTTGGGCAAACGCTGTAGGTAGATGAGTTTTACAAGTAACTGCCGATAAAACGCAATGCAATAGGAATATTCTTTTTTCTTCTTACAGATAGCGTACATTATCTTTTTGCTTTTCTTCTCGTACTGCATTTTGATACACATGGACGAGCAGCCGTCGTTAGCCGAGATATACGCGATCGCGTACATCTGCACACTCGGATGCGAGAAAATACGCGAGATAGCGATTTCAGAGCCGGCGACGCTCTCGCACAAGTTCAGCGTATGGGCGTGGAACATGTGGAACCCGTGTGACGCCGCCGCTATCATATTTTTCCAAATCGGACTGGCTTTACGTCTGCGAAATTCTTCTCATGATGTAGGTCGTGTCATGTATTGCGTTGATTGCATCTACTGGTATTTACGAATACTCAACATCCTTGGTGTCAACAAATATTTTGGTATGCTCAACGTCATACTAGAAGTAACTTACCGCGTGAAAATTTATGTAATCAGCGTTTAGAAAATGAGCCATGATTAACGATAGAATTACCGGCGATTGATGTATACCTATTTTTATTTCTTCTTTTTTTCTTTAAAACTAAATTTTTTTCCTAGAAAATGTATCGTTATAAGTTTGATTAATAATTTTACAAGAGATTGCAAATGAGTGAATTTCAACTACGTTACGGTGGTTGTAGCGTTAACGATCACAGCGAGTCTTGCATTATTTTATAAATATATAGTGCTGAGTAATTTACATTTCGCAGGTCCTCTCGTGACTATGATGGGAAAGATGGTTAAGAACATGATATACTTTGTGATTCTCTTGCTGGTGGTGCTCATGAGTTTTGGTGTAACCAGGCAAGCTATATTAAAGCCCGACTCCGAACCAAAGTGGCGCATAGTACGAGACGTACGTATTTCCCGCTTGACACGCATCGTTAAGAACAAGTTTTATAATTGCCACATATAATTATATAATTTTTCATTATGAAACTTTTAGATATTTATGCAACCATACTTTATGCTGTACGGAGAAGTGTACGCGGACGAAATCGACCCTGATTGCGGCGACGGTCCGGGAATGGTTTCGTGCTACCCGGGTCGTTGGGTCATGCCTGCTGTCATGGCCGTGTATCTTTTAATTGCCAATATTTTGCTGATAAATCTGTTGATTGCGGTATTCAACAACATTTTCAATGAAGTAAACGCTATAGCTCATCAAGTCTGGATGTTCCAACGGTTTACCGTCGTTATGGAATATGAGCAGAAGCCGGTGTTGCCACCGCCGCTTATAACAATTTGCCACATATATTTAGTGCTGAAATATTTTCTGAGGCACATTACGCAAGGTAAAAGTGGCACCGGCGAGACCTGCGACAATGGGTTGAAATTGTTCCTGGAAGCTGATGACATGGAGCGACTGTACGATTTTGAAGAAGACTGCGTGGAGGGATACTTTCGCGAACAGGAGCTCAAGCTGCATATGTCTACGGAAGAACGTGTTAAGGTTACAACGGACCGAGTAGAGAATATGCATCAGAAAATCGAGGATATCGATAAAAAAGAGAGCACTCAGAACGCATCTCTGCAGGTATATATCATTATTTTTAGTAAATATGTTACGGTACGCGATGCAGCATATTTGTTTCTTTCCGAAATCCATACACAAAAACAACATTTGCACATTTACAGGCAGTCGAGTTTCGTATCCGCAAGCTGGAGGAGCTGAGTCAGCAGACTCTAGCGCATCTCGGGGTGATTCATCGCTTCATGGCGACGTACATGCCGAACGAAGGACTGTCCGGTTTGGAGACGCTGGAGAGCGTTCGACAGCGTCGGGTGTCGGAACGATCGGAGGCCTTCTCCGAGGCTGACTCTCACACTCAACTGCCACTGACGACTGCGCGGCGCAAGAGACTCCTGCGATCTCTCACCGACGCCACGTTCCTAAACGTCGGTCACCCAATCGAGGACGACGTTCTCAAGATGTCGGAGACCATGACATCCCGCGAGAATCTCAGCAGGCACGATTCCTCCGTCAGCGTGGACGCTCACGTTGTTCAGGACGACGTCAAGACCACCACGAGCTTGGAAACGGAAGGCAGCAAGGACGTTCTCGAGGGCGAGGCTGCCGGCAAGAAGGAAGTACTATCCGAGAAAGGGATTAGCCGAGACACCAGTAAAGAGGTAAGCAGAGAAGTCAGCGTGGAGGTCACCAGCAAAGAAGCCAGCAAGGAACAGAGCAGGGAGGTGAGCAGAGACGCCAGCAAAGAAGCCAGCAGTGAGAACCCGCCGTCGGACACCAGGCAAGACTCGACGGAGCGTACCTTCAGGCAGGATTCCACGGAGCGTGGATTCCGGCAAGATTCCACGGATCGCAGTACGTTTAGGCAGAATAGTAGAACCCGATCGGAGTCGGACGACTTTATGCTGCTTCCACCTCCTGGTATCCAGAGAGCTGTGACTTGGGCGGAACCACGGGTAGCCGTAATCCCGTCGTCCGTCACTTCGGCCGGCAGCGCGCAGAGATCGATCCTGCTGACGATGCGCGCAGAGTACACGAGCATCACGGACGAGCTCGAGAGCTACTGCGGCCTGTGGAGTCCGCCACGAACACCGCCGCTCTCACCGCCGCCATCGCGGGCGCGCAATATGTCCGAGATATCGAATCCCGAAATAGCGTGGCAGATTGAGAACGAGCATCTGCGGGACGCGGAGGAATGCGACTACCAGCAGATGGAGGATTTGATTCAGCGACGCTACCGCGGTGACGACAACGACGGCAACGACGACGACGACGGCGGTGGCGGCGGTGGCGGCGGCGGTGGCGGCGGTGGCGGCGGTGGCGGCGGTGGCGGCGGTGGCGGCGGCGGCGGCGGCGATGACGACGGACCGTCAAATGTACACGCGGACGAGGCCGGTAGCGTCGCGTGCTTCTTCAGCGTGTCGAACGAGCATCGTCAGCTGCGCCGTGCCTCCGCGATCGACGAAGATTCACGCCGACCGCCGCCAACGATCAGCGTCACCCGCGAGATCGAACAAACGCTCGCGCGACCGCCGATACGCGACTCCGAAACGACCGATTTGAGCGACAAGAATCTAAGCACTGTACCTGCTCCCGCTTCCGAAACTATGTGTTAAACGAAAGCGGATAATTGTTTGACTCGAAGAGTCTTGAAAAAATTCATTTGCGATTCGTCAAATAATCATTATTGGCTTTGTCAATTGGTCATATTTCTACTATCATGTTTTTACAATATCGGATACTATACTCTTGTATTGATTTTTCGTGTGAATTGATTGTTTCGGCGTAAACGCATGGAGTTTTTAATGTTTAACGATTGTAAAATAAGCAAAAGCAGAATTATAATTTTTGGCGATTATCTTGTGACATGCCAAGCAACATATATGTGTGTGCGTGCGTGCGTGCGTGTGTGTGTGTGCGTGTGTGCGTGTGCGCATATACGGTCGCAAGAAAAGAATCTTCCGCGATTTTTGACTTAGAAGAATCTATCTCTCGGGCTCACATGCTCACGAGTATGCGAAATAATTTCGCTCGCATGGCCTAAATAGTAAATTTTTTAGTATAAACTAAGTGACTATACATCTTACGTGTAATAATCGTGTATTTTTATCGACTTTTATATTATATTATTGTATCAGTGCTTTTAATCTCTTATAGTAACTATATGACGCGTATGAATAATTATGATAATTATGATAAATTACAGTCATCTTTCGACGCATGGTACCGTATATAGCACGTTATACATTAAACGTTGAATTCCTTTCGCGCACTAATTATTCACCGTGTCTCCGTCTTAGATTTATCCGGTGCATCGAATTACATGAAAGTTCTGTAACGTACACTGTTTCAGGGGGAGAGAAAGAAAAAAAACAAGAGTTACGTTGCCTCTACTTGTGTCCGTCACATTTGATGCATTTCTGTGCATTCAAAGTCCTTCCATTCGATAGATTGGCGTGTAACTTTGTGAATATTTTATATGCACACGTTTATTTAGCGACAACTATTTTAATGTGGGATATCATTGTCGCGTTCCCGTCGACACATGTTCTACACAAGTACTTAAACACTTGGCGAACGAATAGCATCTTATAATATTTCCATGCATGGTTTAGATGTAATATTGATTCAATTTGTGAAAGTTTATGGCTGAGTGTACTTGAGGTTCGAGTATAGGCGCGTCGTGAAATCGCGATTTCACCATGTAAATACGTTAGCGCGATTCGCAAGACTATGGCTTTATTATCCTTACTGCCGGATACTCTGTAATCGAGATCATTTTTCGGAGTGTATTTAGGGCCTTACACAAACGCACTTTCAGCTGCGTCAGACTTGACGGACCATTCGAAAGCGAACCATATCACGCAGAAACGTTCGGACGAACCAAGCCAGTCTGCGTTAGTACAATTGCAAGTATCTAAACAAAAAATAACTTTGATATATATACCTATGTCCAAAATGCCTAAATATGTACAGAAATATATTGTGTATAATTATCGAGGAAAATCGAAAGGAAGTAGGCGGCAAATTCAAGCGTGTTCAAGCAAACGTTACTTAACATTTACGTAAATGTTAACATTAACGTGACTTAACGTTACTTGACTTTATAACTGTGAATTAATGTAGCAGTTGATTTGCTACATATTTTAAGTGTTGGCAACTTTTTATATTCTTTTTTTCTTGTCAAGATTAATCATTGTCAATATTATAATTGGATCATTGAATCGTCAATTTAATTGAGTCGTGTCATTATTTATAGAAAATTGTCAATGATGACAGAAGCGGACGAATTAAAGTTGAAACTCCTTTTCCGAATAATTCCGAAACGATGACTTGACTAGTAACGGTATCATTTCGCATATTCAAAATTCTTACACGTGTTTCTAAAATCCACATAGTGCACTTTAAACACTTTTCAAACTGTCTGAATGAAATAAGAAATATGTGAATATTTCTAGTCCAATGTTGACTTTGGTGTAAAACGATCGACGAGTATCAATTTTACATATATTATTCACTTAATTCGAGGGAGCCTGGCGCCCCTTTAGAAAGAGGCTTTTCGATTTTATTACTATATTGATGTGTAAATCAAAAGCAATATATTATATATTTGTAAGATATATCGATGGAAATATTATCTATTATACGAATATTTAATTGCACAATAGTTACATTCTACACTACTTATTCAGGACAATATTAGTGTTGATAAAGGCATTGTTTGTGCTTTTGCTAATTTCTAAGGATATTTCTAACGTTAATTTGTATATACATACGATTATCGCGCTGTAACATCGATAAGTGAATCGAGTACCGTCGCGCTTATGTTAGATAAATTTCTATTACTAAGGACGCGAAAGAAAATTTCAATGTGTTTAACCCTTTGCGGTTCGAAATAATTTCGACCGCAGAAATGTGATAATTAATATTACTACTTATTTCAGAAATATTATGAAGATTGAAACAACATGGTTTGCGAATCACAATCAATTGCAATTGTTTGCAGAATTATGTGGTCATAAAATACTATGTCGAGTCCATTTTGACAAAAAACCGCAAAGGGTTAATTATTCTGTAAAAACATGTGCAAACGTATACACACACGGCGAATCATTTGCTCAAATTTATTTCGGTGCACGTAAAAGTTATACAATAACGGTTGCACGGTCTCTCAATAAAAGTACTGTGTGTACATGTACACACGACATACGCAGGGATTAATATAAATTTCCGAGCGCACGCAGAATATATTGGAGATATAATAACGATAAAATAAGGCAACAAACCTCAATACAGCGGCGATAGTAATAGCGTATATTCTTATGTATATTCCCGTTGCGTATATTCGCGCCGATTGTACTTGGAATATATTGTGCTATGCATTTCTCATGCATGTACGATATGTACATATTTACATTTGTATCATATGTACATTCTTATCGCATCTAGATATTTGTGTGTTTCTCCGTTTTTTCAATCCGTATACCAATTACATTCTTTCTTTATCAAACGTTTGCGTGAAACTCAAACGCTAGTCATAACGAGAATACCATCGAATTAAATATTAAAGCGCATATCACAGTCGCGGAACGACAAACAGCGGAAGCCAAACGAGCGTTACTTATCACTTCTTCGATCTAAGCAATAGTCGAACTACCAAGTATTATAGCTACGCGCTATTTCGTTGTCAGAATCTATTCCGTCTAAATAGTGGCAATCACTTGTTTTGCGACACTTGTTCCAGAATCGCACCGCACTACGTGTGTTGTCTTGTCGATTGTAAAGAATTCAAAAGAAAGTATCGATCAAACATGGGCATCGAAGATGTAAAAATAGCTTGTTAATAATTGTATGCGTAAATCGATTAGCACATACTGTTAATCGATCTTTACCGTACCTGCGTTACACGCGCTCTCGCGTCAATCGCGTACCGACGTGCTGACGCTGCTGACAACTAATGTATCTCACTAGCCGAAAAAAATGTTTTTCGGATTTACGAGAAATCCTACGTTTGCCGTATTTGAGGGAAGAGAAAATCAGAAGTGAGATAATAAGAGATTGTTCCGGAGCGCTTAGAAGCGAGAGAGAATCAGCGTATTGAAATCCCGTAGCTATTGCTCGACAGTGCAATATTATATACCGATGTTACACTCGTTACCACGAATAAACACGTATAGCGGCATAGCCGGCGTAAGTGATCGATGACGATCGGGCGAAGCTATTGATTGTGCAGTATCCTCGGGGTACTCTTAATTATTCACCAGCGTGCAGTTAAACGATCATAAAAATACGTGCCTTCTCGTCGTACTCTGTCTGTTTTTTACAATATACATACAATACGCATGCAACCCCAATTTGATTATAATCGAGTTCTAGATATATTTTCCGCGATGCTTGGCGCGCAGATTCGTGATAAAACGCATCGTTATCACCGATTTAGAAATCTAATTGTAATTTTTTCTCGCAACGTTTTTTCAACCTTCGTATTGAATATTGTGTACTTTTCCTTCCTTACGTACGCGTAATTCGCTTAATATTGTATGTGTACGAAAAAAAACTCAAGTTTCTTCAAGCTAATTCATTCGTTCATTTCTGGCTGTCGTATACCGAATACAAAATCGAACTACAGAGGAAATCTGATTATTGTAAGAATTGTGATCGATCGCGTCTCTATTGTGCGACGTTGTATCGCGCCATCAAAGTGGATTTATCCAAAGAAATATATACACATATTATTTCAAAATCAATTGTTGTTCTTTAGCGTTACGTAGCGTTGGATATAATTGATATATATATATATATATATATATATATTATAATAATTTATCTTATAGACAGTTATGACTCGAGTTATGACAGTGCGTAATGTGATATTACAACACCACCGATTTCAATTTCATTAGTGATTGTAATCACATTTAATTATCGTTATCAGTGCGTACCTAATGTGTGTTTTGCGTGCTGCGTATTCACGAATAATGTCAAGTACCGCCGCGAACGGGAAATACACTCCACAGAATTCTCGTGGACGTTGCGACAAACTTTTCGATATTTGTATAATTGCTCGATATGACGAAATATCGCTTCAAAAATTTTGAAACGCTGCTGGCTTGTCGAAAGGCGCAACAGTCACGCGTCATTTCAGTTTGGAGAAGTGTTTTCCGCCATCTCGGAGGCGCAATTTTCGATCGGCCAGACGAGTATGATCGACATAAGCGTCCTGTGGAAAAGTATGTAATTTCTATCCTCCTCCTCCTCCTGTAATTTTTCATGTTATTAATAAAAGCGTTTCTCTTGCAGGATAATGTGGCTCGTCATTCGTATCATAGCTGTATCCGGCACGCTATTTATGATGTTGGACTTTACATTGATGTACAAGAGAAGCCCGACTTTCACCACTCCTGAGACATTTCTCTATCCGATATGGAACGTGGACTTTCCGGCGATTGCGATTTGTAACGTCAACCGAATTAGCCGGAAAGCAGCGGTCGATCTCGCTCAAGAGCTGTACATCCTTACCACATTGCATGAGAATAGATAACAGTAGAAATTTATCTCTTAGAATAGTCAAAATAATTAATTAAATTTAAACTTAATTAAATAATTAAGCTCACTCTAGACCTATAATTTGCGACAAAATTTTATTCATAATTTTATATACAAGGTGCAATCTTCGACTGCACAGTGTACAATCTTTTTACAATATCATATATTTTACTTTTTATAATATATTTGTATTGGATTGGCTCCCCAATATTATCTATTATTTTACGTCAGCATGGAATTCGAAAGTACCAAGAATCCATTCGCTAACAATCTGACAATGCCGGATCTCACACACATGCTGAGCCTATTAGGCCAATTGTATCTACGTCAGGACGGAAATGCTGACACTGAGCCAACGAAGCGTTTACACACGATTCTGGAAAGGGCTTACAACGATTACGACGTTGATAGAATAATGAAACGCGTGAGTTAATTGAATTTTTTTCATTTTACCAAAGCGCACCATTCCAGCATACTTTTCACTCGACAGCTCACACCGAAATGTAAATCCATGTTGCGAAAATGTTCTTGGAAGGGAAAAGACGTGATGTGCGACGATATCTTTGTGTTGAGGAAAACTCAGGATGGCTACTGTTGCACATTCAACTACGCTAGACGCAACGACTGCTTCGGAAGGTATAAATTTGTTATAAGAAAAATACTTGCAAAAGTTATAATATTTTTCAGAGTATACCGAAATATATTTTTTAAAACAAGATTTTCGTGAAATTTCACCTTATTTTATATAACTCGTGTGATTAATTACGTTTGTTATTGTAATAATTTTTATACGAACAGCGCAAAGGACGATGTCTTTGCATCTGAATACGTCGAACGTATAATGAACATCGGATCCGAGTACGGTCTGTCTGTTCTCTTAAATCCACAATTAGACGACTATTTCTACAAAATTCTTCCGATTAATGGCTTCAAAGTAAATGGCTCTTTATCTTTAACGAAAAAAAAAAAAACAGTTTATAAATTACAAGTTTATAATTTTTTATAATTTTAGTAGTTGTAATAAAAATTTAACTTTGTATCTCTCTCTCTCTCTCTCTCTCTCTCTCTCTGTGTACGCAGATATCAGTGTATAATCCTATGAATCATCCTGACGCAACGAGTGGTCAGGTACGCGAGGTTCTGATCTCTCCGAAAACAGAAACTTTTATAGAGCTGGACGCAATTATGTTTCATACGACAGAAGTGAGTTACCGATTGTGAATTGTAAATTATAATGACATAATTAATTGATGATAATTTTATTGCCGTAGGATGTTCAAAAATATGATATACGAGAACGCAACTGCTTATTTAAAACGGAACAATCCAAGATATTTCGCGGCTATTATTCGTTCAGCGATTGCATAGTGTACTGCCGTCTGCAGGATATCTTCCGGTTATGCGGCTGCGTGCCGTTTTTCTATCCGAGAGACGTCGGTAATAGCAAAGTTATCAACAAAATCGCATTTCGAGCAAATTTTAGTCATTTGATATATTTTTTTTGTAATTTAGCTTTCGACCGAAACTGCAATCTGAAGGATTTATCCTGCTTAACAAAGTACAGAGGTTCGTTGATGGGACGCCAGATGAAAATTTCTATTTCCGCAAGGCATACTGGACATCTATATTTTTGTCTCTTTTAATAGAAAGATGGAAGAACGTGAAGCCTCGATTCGAAAATGTCATGACGCCATTCGACGAAAGCAAGTTCGAAGGACTATCGGGTTACTTGAGCTGCGATTGTCTCCCATCTTGCACCGATGTTATGTACAATCTGCAGTCTAGCAGCCTACCTTTAAGCCGGTCCAACTTGTCATTTGGGAGGTAAAACATAAGCATAAAGATAATCTTCATACCCACGCTGACTGTTGTATTCTATTTAGGTATAGCTATTCGATCCAAAACGATAGCTTAGTACGCATCTACTTTAGAAAGACGGAGGTGATGAGATTACGACAGGATGTACTTTTTCACTGGTACGAGGTCATGAGTAAGTTTACAATTTCTATTGAGAAAATGTGTCTGTGTGAAAATATCAATAAATATGTGACGCGATACAAAGTATCGCTGTCTCGTTATCTTTTCACTCTGTTGCAGGTAATTACGGAGGCGTGTGCAATCTATTTCTCGGAGTCAGCATCATAAACGTAATTGAAGTATTGTATAGATTAATTATACGGATTTGCCGGCCTGACTCGACGAACCAATCTACGGCGCAAATCAAAGAGAGCATCGAAGGAAATCAAGACAGTGCCGAGGTGACAACAATCACGGTGGAGTCTGTAAAAATATCGCAAGTCATTCAATCGCTCCACTGGGAAGAACTGGCCGGTGTCCTCCGCAAAGGACGATTGAGTTCGTCCCATTTATCGCTGAATCCATTAATGAAGCAATCAAATCTGCGTGTCGGCGATCAAATTTAATTGTATTTTACGGTTTAGTAAGAGACCGAATTCTTAGCACTACTCGTCGCATTCTGTTATATAGGGTGGCGCGCATTCGCTGTGCTTTACACCGAATGAATAAGCGGGCGTCGGCTTGACTGACGGAATGCCATATATCGGACCCGGACTTTTAGAAATCATTCGCAATTCCCGTCTACCGACCATAGTGTACATTGGAGTCCTCGGTTTCACCGCTTCCAAGTTGTATGGCGAGTAATGATCCGCGCTGACCGGAGGCTTCGTGACGACTGTACGCAGTCCCCTACAGTAGAAGAATTCTTCGTGATAATGTACGAGTTATTTTAATGTGCGCGAAGCGAACGACAAAGAACCTAGACATACATGGAGAATGCGGGTGCGTCAGCGATCGGCTTGATATAATAAGGCCCCGGTGTTTCGTCAATCTTCCTCGACTTTGTTCTCCATTTTAGTGAGAAGAAGGGACCACGGGGAACATCTGGCAACTTATATTTTGGGCCAGGTCCCAAAACAATATCTACAATCAAGTACAAGAAGGGACGCCGATGAAGTAAGTAATTGCGACGATTATCTAGTTTGAAAGAGAAAATCTTTTTACCGCGATATCGTGCGGCAAGTCCGAAGCTGAATCCCTTGGGTCTGCGTTCTTCGATCGTATACTTTGGTCCTGGACCTTCCGCCACCTCGAAAGTGATGCGTCGCCCGCCGAACGTGTACGCAGGATTTCGATATCGCGAGACACAGTGGTTCCTGTAGCCGACAAGCGTCTTGAGTTCATATTGAGGCCCAGGAGCTGCCAAGTAGAAAATAATTCATAAATTTCATAAATGATTGAACACAAGTTATTCAAAAATTCCTTATCGAATAGCTTTCGAGATTAAACGCGAGGAAAGAACAACGCGCGATATAGTGAATTTTATTAATTATTTAATGCAATAATACATTTACAGTTTTTATATAAGAACTCACTTATTGCTTTATCGGAATACCGTATAAAACTTACGATTGTCTTCACGCGTCCATGCGTAATTAATATTTAAGCTAAATTTTACGAATGTGCGTACTGATAAAGCGGCATGTGGCGGCACCCTTCATTTCTGTCGGCGCTTTCTTCCCACCTCTGCCTTTCTTGCGTTCTCTTTTCGGTGGCATTTTTCTCACTTGTAAATTTAGAAGTCAATTTATTTAAAAAATGTTACACATTTACACGTAATGTAACATCATGTGTCACGTCATGATGATTTTAACTGATTTTAACTCCATGTTGCCAAGAAACAATTGCCTGTTATGACTTGTGTCTCTCACTGTGTAGTCATATATCTACTATAAATCAGAAGTAGCAAATATTTAATAACGAGTTCATTCTTTAACATTTTTCATATAAAAATTGCTCATTTTATACATATATATAATTCTGGAAAAAATTTCAAACTTTCCCACAGAAGAGATTTATTGCACAAACATAAAGAATATGACATAGTAATAGTTGTATACAATTTGTGATTATAAAGCCTCGTCCAGCTGTGTCATGGGTATCCCAGTGCATTCGCTGTGTTTTATACCGAACGAATACATAGGTGAACGCTTTCGCGTATCGTATAACGGATAAAAGGTCGGTGCTGGGCTGCGATATTGTTCTGCCAAAATGTGTCGCTCCTTCAGACTATACGCCGGACTCCGTCGTTTGATCATATTGTAATCTATCTTAGCGTACGCAGCTGGACCTGGACCCATAATTTCTTCACGAATTACATGATAACCAGTCCTGAAAAAATATAAATACAAATTATAAAAATAAGAATAGATTGATATATATGCGTTTAATTAAAGTCGTCCGTGTCTTTACATAGAGAATGCACCCTTCGCAGGTTTGTCGGGTACTTTTGGCCCTATGCACGTTGGCAAAAGGTACGAATTTGGTCCAGGTCCTTCATCCAATAACTTTGTCCTACCCCGTGACGTGATACTATAAGCTGGTGCTCGACGCTTGTGATTCATCGGTGGACACAGTTCAGGAGAGTACGCTCCAGGTCCTGGTGCAAAGTCTTGCACTACCGAAATGCAAAACTGAATATTATTTTTCTGTCCATTTTGAAGCAAGAAAAAACTGTCTTATCCTCACATTTCCATGCTTCTCTGCCTCTAATTGTGTAGGCGGGTGATTTATCTGGTCCAAACTTTGTTAAACTCCTGATATTGTATTGCGGACCAGGTCCTATCACATAACTTTTCGCATCAGTTCTAGTTCGCATACTGTATGCTGGATTTCTGTGCCGGGATGGATCATGACCGTCATAGCCAACTAACGATGGTAATTTGTAAACTGGACCAGGACCTGACATACATTTATATTAATATAGCGAATAATTCACTAATTCGTTAAATTGCAAATGTCAAGATAAATTGTTATTTTCAGATAGCTCACCTTTTATCATACAACTTAGCCCTTTTTCTCTACCTTCCATTTTTTTATTGTTATCTATATATATATATATATATTTAAAAGATATAAGAAAAGAATATATAATATAAAATCTCTATAAAGGTTAATTTAAATAATAGTTAGAAAATGCTTCAGCAGGTTACTAATAAAATATGAAAGTACAAATCAATAGTCGACATATTCATAGCAATCACTACATGTGTGTGTCTGTGTGTCTATTCAACTATTGTGTCCTGTAGTTAATGAAATAAAATAGAAAGATTATACCATGATTAAACAATCTTTTTATTTAGAAAATTTTTTATCACATAACGAATCATCACTATCACTATCAAAGTTATCATCCGTTTCATCATCAATATCAAAATCATCATCTTTGTCTGTAATAGCTAATGATTTCAGTTTTGTTAATAAATCTTCTCTGCTTTTGGATTCTGTTACACTGTAGTCTTTGCTATTAGTTTCACTTGTATCCATGTCTAATCCAGATGTATGCCCCATCTTATTTTTATTTTTTGCTGAAAGTAAAGTATAATAACACAGTCATTTATGTAGGAATTAAATTTTGTTCAATAACTCACTACTTAATATAAAATACATACTCATCTGTTGATTCATGTAACGCAAAAACGTCCTTCGTTTTCTCTCAGACATGGTTTTCAGGATAACTTTAAATTCAGCATCTAATTTAATTTGTTCTTCTTTACTAGGCTTTCCTTCAATAATTTCTTTCTTCTCACCACACTTTGGACATACTTTTTGCTGTTTGGCACAAGGCAAGCAGATATTATGATAAGAGTGTTTCACAGTTTTCTGCTCACACTTTGTACATTTCACTGGAGCTTTGAGTGCTTTGTACTTTTTATACTTAATTTTCCACTCAATTATTTTCTTACAACGCTCACACACATTAGCAACCTCGATGCTATTAATAAATTTTGTTTTCTGAGAGTTGTCGTGTAAATTATTTTTGAAGACAACTTGATTTTGATGTTTCTGAGGTCTTGATCGAGTAGCATTCCCTTTTTGCAAACTCATGTTTCTATCGTTGTAATATTCTTGCAAATTGATCAAATAGCTGTGAGGCCTGATTTTTCTTCAAACTCAAAGAATGACTGCAAATATAAGCAAAATAAAATATATTAATGACATAATAAAGTGATATAACATTAAGAATTGTCATGTTTCTTGCAACGCATTATAAAAATAAAAAATATTCTTTACTACAAGTTTTTTTTGCATAAAAATTATAAAAATTACATTAAATGTGATTTTCATTTAAAACATTTATTTATCAATTATTTATCTATTCAAACATTCATCACCTGGTAATTATTATTATCAAATCACATATTTGTCCAACTTATCGTTGCAAGAAATTACGTCCGACTTATCGTTGATTTGCATTACGACTCGAATTTAGCGCACACAGCTTGCAGCGGAATATATTGAAACTAAAGAATACTTTCAGTAATACAACTCAACATCAAGCCAAACCATTTGTTTAATTCCCACAAATTCCGTAACAGAGCCGTCACAGTCGCGCGCATTTTTTTAGTTCCACCAAACTCCGTTACGAAGCGTCACAGTCATGCGTTTTTTTTTAATTCCACCAAATTTCGTTATGAACCACTACTGTCGACCGCTTTCTCTTTAGTTCCAACAAATTACGTTACGAGCCGGCACAATCACATAAACATTTTAGCGTAGCGACAATGGCTTCTACAAATGATTTTGGTCCGGATTCCGGTGGTAGAGTAAAGGTAATGTGACACACAAAATATCGATAATCAACAAATTTCAAGCAGTATTTTGTAAAGCTTATTATAAATAAAATCTCACAAGTTTGTTATTGATTATCTGCTACTATATTGGAATATTTAACCTATAATTTTGCCATCACAAGGTTTAAATAACAATAAATTTTTAGTTTATGTAAATAATGATGTTTTATATTATTTGTTCATAGGGAGTGACTATTGTCAAACCTATAATTTATGGTAATATATCGCGTTATTTCGGCAAGAAGAGGGAAGAGGATGGGCATACGCATCAATGGACTGTGTACGTCAAACCATATCATAATGAGGATATGTCCACTTATGTGAAAAAGGTGCATTTCAAATTGCATGAGAGTTACAACAATCCTAATCGAATTGTGACAAAGCCACCATATGAATTGACAGAAACTGGTTGGGGAGAGTTTGAGATAGTTATTAAAATTTATTTTCATGATCCGAACGAGCGTCCTGTAAGTCAATAATTTGTCATACATAAAAAAATACTTTATAAATTTATTATTCTATAGACTGCACAAACTGCTTTTAGGTAACAGTATATCATGTATTAAAATTATTCCAATCGACTCCTGAGATACAATTGGGCAAGAAAAGTCTAGTATCTGAATTTTATGAGGAAATAGTTTTTCAAGATCCAACAGCATTAATGCAACATTTATTAAGTTCCAGTAGACCTATAACACTTGGTGTGTGGCGACATAATACTGATTGTAAGTAATAATTATAATAGTATAATTATAATACATCACTTCAAGTAACTTGAGAATTTAATTAATTGATTATTAATTTTGTATCATTTATTAATATTATTTATTTATTCTTACAGTTGAAGCAAAGAAAGAATCCACAAAGAACGCTATCATGGAGGCGCGCAACAAAATAAGACTTGAAGTAATAGATCTCAAAGAAAAGTTGACTCTAGCTAAAGAAACTATTGCAAAGTTCAAAGAAGAAATTGCAAAGATTTCTAAAGCTGGTGGAAGTTTATCTGTTGCATAGTAATATTACTTCAAGGTAAAAAAATTTATAATAAATTATAGATAGAATTATTGATTGCAATAAATATGCGAGTAAATCGAAAAGTAGTGACATTTAAAAGAGAATTAAAAACTTAAAAAGTCTCTGCTTCTCGATTCTTTAATTTTTGTATACATATGTACATATATGATTATAAGTGTAACTTAAATTGAGCTGTAAATATTTTTATGAACTGAGTTAGAAAATTTAGTATAAAAAGTAGCTGTGTAATAGATAGAATTTCAATTATTTTTCTAAACATAATTCCAATCAATTTTTTATGATTAGTGAATAAATTTTGTTAAATAAAATTTTATATTAATTTGAAAAAATAAACTATCTTTTCATTCTTCAATATCTTTCAAGTCATTCTCATATTTAAAATGAAGTTCCATTCGAATTAAATTTATTGATTTGTCATAATTTGCTGATAAGCGAGATAAGTAACAACGACAGCTAATCAATTTTTTTTTAAGCGGGTATTCCTGAAAACAAAACGGTAATGAGTACTTAAAAATTTACATTATTTTATAAAAATCAAGAATTACTCACAATAAGTGATACTAATTACATTAATTGAAATAAAATGTATATATTGATCATGTCTTACTACGTATATTTATTTTAAAATAATTTTTAAGCAGTTATGTTAGTTAAATTTGTAAAATCAATTTTATTCAAGCAAGTGGAGTGACGTTGCAAATCGTTTGATAAGAAATCACATGCAATCTGAGAGATTCACATGTGTACGATTCTTATGCAATAACATGACAATCTTACTTGAGAATAATGCTAGCAAAGTTGAGATTTTATACGCCTATCGAATAATTATTGATAATGTAAAGATAATTTATTTACAAATAATGATAATAATAATAATTATTATTAGCTTTTTTTGATAAAATTATTGAATTCTTTTAACTGTCAAGCTAACTATTTACTTTCTGTCATTCCTTTTTATCTATTTTTTAAAAACTTATTTTCAAAATATTTACTGTAAATATATTTTAGTTGTACTTCATATTAAAAAATAAAAAATAAAAATAAAATAAAAGACGCAAGATGCAATCAGTTTCGTAGAAATCTCAAATTACGGTGGTGTCAAAAATCACCGGGGTCCTATCAACATAGGATAATCAGCTATTTCATCTCTTTGGATAGTTATGAGTAAACATAGAAAACGTGATGTAAAGCCCGACGAAGTTAGTAGCCGACGTGAACAGTGTTAATGCAAGACGTGCTACGTCGGTATCGCATCCAATATAAATCCGCGTGTTGCTTGTTCATGATCGGTAGCGTGAAAATCATATCTCTCTTGCATTCTTCTGAGATACGAGCATGGCATCAAACACTGTCACTGCAAAAACGTGAGTTTTGTGTGAAAACTTCTTATTCGTCGCGTTGGATTATAGCACATTCATGTTTCGTCATGTTTATCTTCGATCATCGATTATTCACCGAATCGATTGTTTTTCTTGCTTAACTGACGTCAACGTGTAATTTACGACTTTATGTAACAATCAGCTGACCAATCGCTTCGATGTGACTACGTGAAAGTAACGCAAGATATATCCAGATCGGATTTATCCACGAGTCGCGCGCGCGCTTTTCTTTTGACTAAATTGCGATTGATGTTTCCTGAAAAAATATCGAAAGATCGATAATTTTTCAAATATAAGTTAATTAAAAATACATTTTTTCTTAATTGAAGATAATAAAACTTTATTCTCTAAGAGGTTTTTGTACCTAACCTTCTAGATTTTAACAAACTTATAACCTGAAGACTAATATTACAAAGATATTTGATGGAAAACACAATATAACAACTTTTCTCAACATTTTTTATTGAAAAAATTGTTTCCAAGTTTATCAAGGAATTCAATGATAAGTGATATGATAAGTTTGAGACTTATCTTATGACTTCTAGGCACACATAACGAATACACGATGAATCACACTAAAAGAATTCATAGAGTTCAGTTTGTAATATTAGTAATCAGAAATCACCTTACTAGACAAATGAATGAAAAATAACTAATAACGATTTAGTCTGTGCGAATTACAAATTCTCTTACAGATTCTCATTAAAAATTAATAATTTATTAAGATTAAGATTTAATTTATTAAGATTTATTAAGAGAATTAAATATTTATTAAGATTGAACATTAAAATTAAACTTTATATATAATTTGAATTTAAATATACCTATAATAATATTGTCGTTTTTTTTTTTTTTATGATGTCCAAAAATAGATATTAAAAGTAAAAATGTTAGATTGAGAAAAGATATTTAAAGTATTGGATTAATTAAAAAATGTGTTCGTTTTATCATGTAAACCTTATATTAATAAACAAGGAAAACGAATAAAATATTACTTTAAAATATTACTTAAGAAATTTTAAAGAACTTGATACAAAGATTACGATAATTATTTATTAAGTGGGAAGAAAATATGAAATAATAATAATAAGAGAAAATAAAAAATTTTACTTTTATATTTGTAAGGAAGGAAAACAAAAAAGAAGAAGGGAAGAGACTTTTTTAATATTCATAGATGAAAATAATTTAATTGTACCTAAAGTTATCGCACTGGATTTTCATTATCAAACTCCTGCTCATTGTGAACGTTTATTTATCAGACCAGGCGTGGAATTTGCAATCGGCGGTCTGGCAGCGGTAGGCGCCGGCTTCTTCACGAATCCTGTGGATGTGGTGAAGGTACGATTGCAACTGCAAGGTGAACTGGAGGCGCGAGGCTCCTACACGAGAATATATAAAAACACCTTGCATGCCACATATCTCATAGCCAAGCATGAGGGCGTGCTGGCCCTGCAGGCCGGACTCGTGCCCGCACTCACCTTCCAGCTGGTGCTCAACGGTGTACGTTTAGGCGCGTTCAAGACTGCTCAAAAGTACGAGCTGATTGTCAACAAGCAGGGCAACACAGATATCCTGCGGACAGTGCTTGTGTCTGGCCTGGCCGGTTGTGCCGGCGCTGTGCTCGGCAGTCCCTTCTACTTGGTAATCCTACACTCCGCTACAACTATAATACTTTTTAATTAACATTTTCATACAAAATTTAACACTTTGTTGTCATATAATGTTACATATTTAATTTTAATTATATTTTTCTAATAAAATCTAAAAAATTGAGAGTTAAAAAGACAGCACTGCACTCAGAAAAGTATTGATAAATAAATACAAATATCTTGAGTCAAAAATTGATTTAATAAAGATATAAACATTTTGCCTAGGTACTTGATGTATGTAACATACTAATACAAAGTGTCAATGCTGCACTTGGTATGTGAATGTTATGACGTATGAATTATTTTAGGTCAAGACACAATTACAAGCGCAATCTGCGAAATCCATCGCTGTCGGCCACCAACACAGTCACTCGGGATCATGGGACGCCTACAAAACATTGTGGAAGCAGGGTGGCGTCGCGGGCCTGTTTCGAGGATGGAATGCCAACCTACCGCGCCTGTTTGTCGGTTCAGCGACGCAGCTGACCACCTTCGGATTAGTATTGGACTGGTTACGCTCGCTAAATGTAAGTAGCATCCTCACGTTTGGTCTTTGACCTTACATTTTTCGTGTAACACCGAGGTCTCAAGCATTCTTTGCTCTTTTAACGAGGCACCGACAAAAATCGCTTATGTCATTGACATCGCGAATAAAAATACAAAAAATCTGAGAATTTAAATTTTATGATCTTAAAAAGTATATAATTGGGAATGTGGTAGACCTCAGCGTGAGATTCGAAAGTAGTACGCATTGACACTGTGACGGAGCGTTCTTCGTTTCTTTCAGATATTTCCAGACCGGCCGATATTGTTGACCTTTCTGGCCTCTGCGATCGGAGGCAGTTGCGTGGCCATTACCATGCAACCTTTCGACGTCCTAGCGACGCGGTTGTACAATCAAAGTGAGTATACTATGCTACTCAAAGTGCTGGATTAAACGCGTGATTACGGAAGGCCACGATTATGTCGATAGCAAACGTCAATGAATGACGTTTGCTATCGACGCACAATTTCAAGTACAAACGTGATATCAAATTACGGAAGAACGTGCTTGATCTTCTTGAATAGTAAAAGATAACCTTTTCGCATCCACGATTCAAGACGCATTCGCCAGCAGGTGATAACAAGAATATTATATTAGCCTGGTATGCGCGACTATAAATACGGTGCAGTGGCATGCGTGGCTATAAATACAGAGTTTCTATCGCAAAATCCACAGGCGTGTCTCGCAACTCTATCGCTCTTTGAAATTTCAAATGTTAGTTTGCAGCAAATGTTCAACGTAGCCGCCAGTGTGGTCCTAGTCTGATTATTATGCTTCGAATTAAGAACTCGTAAAATGATTAGAGAAAATGCTTAAAAATTGTATTCCACGTAACTAGTTTATCTTAATAGTAGCGTCGTAAGTTTTGTCGCACATTTGGTGCGTTCTGATCATTATTCTCGACAATTATCTACTTATTTTAAATTTGTTACGCGAATGCAGAGACGGATGCGGCCGGGAAAGGCGCTCTATACAAAGGACTCGGAGACGCGTTCATCAAGATTCTGCGTACCGAGGGCTTGACCGGCTTATATAAAGGAACGTTCCCGACGTGGCTGAGGATAGCACCGCATACCGTTCTGTGCTTAGTGTTCTACGAGAAACTGGAGCAACTGTATAACAAGTTTAGAACGCGACAATAGTTAGACAATAGTTTTTTAAATTTATATAATATTGAAATTATGTATTTTCTCTAGGTAAAGCACGTAGATCTGATAAATTTTGAACTTTATCAAGTTTATCTACGTTGAATATTAGTATCAAGTATCGCAGATCTATTGAGGATAAATTGATGTTACGTATCGGCAGTGATCGCTTGATACGAATGCGATAAAAATTTTAGAAATATGGACGTTAAAATGTATAAATATAAAAATTGCAATCTAATCACTCTTACGATATCGTTCTACGCCTAACATTATTTTCAATATTAGAATAGATTGTACTTATAATTACGTATATAAAATCCGCTGGTGTGGAGTACCACTTCTCTCTCACTGCAATAAATTAATCTCGCGTCAATTTACAAATTAACGCTTGTGTGATCGGGTCAATTAGCATACTTATGAGCAATACGCGAATCGTCATTCGCGCGTCGCGATATCGATAATTTATAGATTTCGTTCAAAAATTGTATAAAAAGTACTTAATCGAGTTATGTGCAAGTGACGGATCTATGTGGGTATTGCGTTCGGTCTTGATTTGAAACCTTTAGTCATGGATGCTGCTATGTCTGTCGTGCTTCTACCTCGCGTTTCGGGCAAGTAGACTCTGCAATAAGTAATAATAATACATTCATTACGAGTAGAATGTCGCACATTGAAATAAAACGCTAAGAAGAGATGTAAGTACATACTGATTGATTTGAACTAGGATTAGTGTGCACGTGGCAAAGACGAGGAAGACATATGGGCCGATCACAGCTTGTAGCGAGGGAAACATCATTCCGACGAGGAAGTTTCCTCCCCAATTGAACATGCTGCCTAAGGACATCGCGGCAGGCCTGGGACCGACGTCGAATAATTCAGAGCCGATAAAAAATGGTATCGGACCCAGACCGATGCCATAAAATACAACGTACGCCAACACCGCGACGGTGCAAAGCCACGGCATGAACGAGAGTGCATCCTGTGAAGAGATACGTTAATCAGTTTTTTACGGAGACTTGCACAATAATGAAATACACTTCAAATTCCACATGTTTTCAAAACAAGTTATTATACCTATATTGTCAAAATTCTCACATAAAATTGTAATATTTAATTGCATTTAATTACAATATCACTAAAATTGGCTCGTATACTTACGATTAATGCAATGGAGATGCATAGAGCGACGAGGCACCCTATACACAAGTAACAACTCAGAAACAGTACTTTCCTTCTGCTGAATAATAACATTACTGGTACGGAGACAATTGCCATCACAATATTGGCAACGCCGGTGCCTAGAGTCGCGTATTGAGCGCCGGTAATTCCGAGGCCAGCCCCGAGGAAAATTGTGTTAGAGTAATAAAAGACTGCATTAATGCCACTGATTTGCTGACCGAATTGCATGAGGCACACTAAGAACAGCGGCAATCTCACAGTCGGTTCATTCAGCACGCGCGTAATGTTCCACGTTGAACTTGTTGATTTCATCGCCAGTTCTTCTTGCAAACTAGTGATCTCGTTTTGTTGATGCAATATGTTCATATTTCGTAGACGACTAAGTTCTGTAAAGAAAGTCACAATTTGAAATATAAAAATTAATATCGGTCAAAACGCAGATGGGTTAAAAGCAAAATTTTCGGCGTTGTTGAAGTCTTGTTGAACTCGATAAAATATTTACATACCTTTCAGAGCCTTTCCCTGTTCTCCCTTGATTATATATAAATACTTGGGACTTTCTGGCAAAACAATGGTTAACAATAATGCAGCGACACATAGCGGGGAGAAGGCTGCTAGCATGATGTGCCAGGATTCTGGAGTGCCCAGGACGGTTTCAAGCCCAGCGATTTGACCTACCAGCACACCGCACGTAATACCCAATTGACACAAGACCCCGACGGCGCCTCGTAATTTCAAAGGCGCTATTTCCGTCATGTACATCGGGAGCAGACTAGTGGCTAAACCGCCAGAAAGTCCTACGAATATTTTAAAACATTAATTTATCTCGCAAATTAAAAGTCAAGTGAAAGCGAAGTGAAGCCTCCTATACTTTATTCCTTCTATTGTGCTTCCATGTATATAATATCGTGTTCTTTCGTTAGACATCGATCTAAAAGGACTAGACTTAAATTTTTAGACTCTTCGACTTACCGACGATTATTCGACCGAGCAGGAATAATTCGATCGAGTTTGCAGTTCGTACGAGCAGGAACAGGATAGCTCCTACAATTCCGCAAATATTTCCGACACATAGCGCGCCTTTCCGTCCGAATCTGTCGCTTAGCCAGCTAGCGACCAACGATCCGGACACACCTCCGATAAGAAAGATCGACACTATAGTGGACCAGAGTATCTGAAGCTCGTGATTGGACAACTGTACGCTGTGTCTTTCCCTGACACTATCATTGCAGAAAGACTGCATAAGCTACAAGTTGAATATATACCATGATACAAATGGTTTCGGAATATAAATATGCTCGATGAAGAATCGCAAATTAATCGACTACGAACATGAGCAGGATTGTTCATAACGCCTATGTTATATCCTGCTGGTAATGCTGATCCCAGGCAGCATGTGGCACCACCCAGTACCAGCAACGGGGTCCATCCACCAGAGTCGACATTGTGTGCATCGTTATGCTCCTATAAAAGAAATCGTGCGGATTAGCAAAGTGTTATATCGCAAACAGCTATCTATTTAATCCTTTTTAAGTGAAAGGTGAATGATTTATTACGCATAATAAATATTTATTCTGCGTAACAACTCTTAGAATTTTTACAAACAACTTGCGTAAATTAAAGCTATAATTTTTTGTGAGTCGCTGTTTTCTTTTTTTTCTTCTTTTTTTTTACTTTTTTAGTTTTGGCAGTACAGTCACATGACAGAATATTCAACCAAATACAATTTATATCAACATCATTGCAATTTATACTAATAAAATCTGTAAGTAAATGTTACTTGCAGCATTCATTGGCACAATTCTTACTATGGTGATGTATGAAAATGAGTTCTGATGGTTTCATATCATGATTCGATCAATGGAATCCTCAGATATCCATTCGCTTCGCATAAAAATTGTTTAACCACACTTTGATACACTGATTGCATTAATCTTTAACTCTACGTTGCAGCTTATTCTTCGCTGATATTCTCGCAAAATTGGTGAGCATAAAAAAAGGAAAAAAATGCAGAGCAAACGTAAAAATTTTTCGTAACTTCTCAGTGTTAAAGACGTCTGATATCTTTAAGTAGTGTGAACTTCACCAATCTCTTAAAACAAATTATGATATGTAAAATCAGAAGACCATACCGCTCACATAAGTAAGCATCGTAAGCAATATGAAGTGTGTTGAACCCTCGTAGACCAATCAGTGATAACATGGAAAAGCCAGGGCGGAATGTGATGGAACAAAACTCAACAAAACCACACACCGTGGGCATACCTGTAAACTGTTCAGATAGCCAACCATGCATTATTATGAATTTGTCACAGAGTTCAAGTATACTCTCGCATCCATAAAACGCAAATTCACACACACACACACACACACACACACACACACACACACACACACACACACACACACACACACACACACACTGGCACACTCTTTTTCAAGTATTAACTTGCCGACTGCAATATCTGCAATGTCATAATATGTACTCTGATTCTAATGGTAATTCTACAAATATACACATATATTTTTTTCTGTTACAAGATTTATAAAAAAGCATGCATTAATAATCACAAATGTTACATTAGCAAAGCAATTACTATAAGCAACATTTTAATATTTTAATCTCAGCATTTTCTTCAATTACTACAAGTTTCTACAAATACTTTGTATTTATTACGTGTAGTACTTGATTTTATCATATCTTATAATTCTGTTATTATAAGGAGATATAGTTAGCATATCTCAATCATTAAATAAACTTCTTATATAGATGTGACTCATATATATATTGCTCTAATAAATTTAAAAAAGTTTCAATAGATGAAAGCAATGAACCAATTTTAAACTAGCCAACAAAAATAAATGCCACCAAGATTATAATATTAAATAAAAAATTAATTAAATTTCTACAGAAAGAACCAGCAAAAATCATATTGCCCTCTTTTGTTTAGCGGATGATTAGAAGATAAATAAACCAGTTTAAAGAAGATGAAAATGAAATAATGTGACAATTGAGATATGCGCTGTTTTGAATTAGAATCAAGATTCAATGAAATGATGCCAATATAATCATATCTCTCAAATAGATGTACTATGACATACTCTTTTGCTGATTTAATAATACTGCTGCCTGGAATAACTGTCCAGTAATTCCATTTCATTACAGATCACACACTGTATGATCACAAAGAAAAGTCACACACATAGATTGCTTCATGTAAAATACTTTGCAGAATATATGTGTACTTTTTTTTCACTCACAAGTGTTATTCTTAATAGATGCTTATTGCATACACAATATTGCATGTATTTATTTATTCTGATAACACAATACTTGTTGCAAAGTTAAATTTGTAACACTCACAGTTAATATAAGCAGTGGCATAACTATTACATGAGTTATCGTTTCAAGAACAGTAATAACAAAAATAAAGAATCTATCTTTGGATAAATATAAAAAAAATAACTTGCTACGCCACTGCACGAGCAAGTCAAACGCTCGTACATGCTTTAAAAAAAAAAAAAATAAAAAGTATCGACTCATTAAACTAGCAAGGCTTACCGACTTTCGCGATTCACTGGTTAACGATTTCACCTTTGGCACATCGATCATGCACAGAGCAGAAACGTCGGTATCTATAAACAAGAAATGGAAATCTTCCTTAGTCTTTTTTAAGTTAAAAGTACGAAGGTACTCCAAGATCGCGTGTTAAATGTATCAGTTATGTATCAAATTGTGTAATAACGACCTTCTGCGTTTAACGTAGCAATACACTTTCGATGATCTTGTTGCAATCTTTTCGTCGTTTTCGCAAAAACCGACGAAAAGATTAGGAAAGACGTGATACGCATTCAGTAGAGCCGATGATTCAGCCCTGCGGTACGTTCCTTGAATCTTCTTTTTTTTTTCTTTAAAATCCGGATAGACAATTATTTAACTATTCGAACGTGCAAGCTGTAACACAAGCTAAGGACCAGTCTTTTACCTATTGTCATGTTGGACGATCATGTATCACAGACCGGCGATAACAGCAATGATTAGAAATGTCAGGAAGCGTCTCCGCCACAGTATATGTGAGGTTAGGTACTTGTTTCGATATATCGATTTGAGATATCTCACTCTTGAATATATATTCATTTCCATACGCGCCGTATTTTAATTACATTAAAATCGCGGCCAGGAATTTTTAATCGCATATTTTAATTGTTAAAAATGCATGATACGTATGAATTTTTGTCGCCAGTATGACGGAATGTATTATTTATCGTTAGCGTTTATTACTAATACATCATGAATTAAAGTACTTACTAATAAGTACTAGATAATGAATACAGATACCAACGATCCCTACGTTTACTCAAGGATCAAAGCGCTATGGGCACACGGTGTATTTCTCAATAAATATAAATATTAAAAATTATACAGAGAGAAATATCAATATTCTATCTGGTAAATAGCTATTTATTATTTAAATATGTACATAACGTACATAATGATAAACGTAAATTAAAATTAATAAATAAAACAAAAATGCTTGGAATGCATATCGAATCTATTTGCTTTGGTAGCACTTTCTGTATCTTTTTACCTCTTTTTTTCTTTGTTTTTCTTTCTCCTTCACAAATTCCAAATACATATCAGTTTCAAAAACAGTGTTTTTTTTTCAATCGATTCAAAAGAATTTATTTCTTTCAAATTAAGAATAAGTAGATGAGACTTATTCTTCTTTGGGCACACCCTGTATGCAACACACGTCAACTTTCCTACACGGATATTCAAATGTTTCATTAGCATATGAATGGATGTGACTTGCGAGTTAATGAAATTCTTGTGATAAGTTAACGCCTATTTTCAATGAGATGTTAGTTTTTTATGCCATAAGTTTGCCATGTCAAAATTCACATTATTGCAATTGCATTTTAATTATATTATTTAAATTTCATTTTCCTCTCTTTCTTTGAAATCTAGACGTGCATCTGTCTCACTGCAAAGACGGAAACTTGCAAGTTTATTAGTTTGCTTAAAAATACTTTTAACAAACACTTGTCTATTTTTCTCTCTATTTAATTAGCTGTCTGTTTTGTCTCTTATCTCTTTCTTCCTCCGTCTGAACACTTTTTGCAACTATCAGAATGTGAAATGTGACGACGCGCACAACGGCGGATGAACGAATGGACGTGAAAGCAAACGGGATTTAATGACTAATCATTAAATGGAGTTTGCCCTCTGCATTGCATGCGCAACCTTGTCCGCTCTCGCAGGCTTCGCCGTCGTAAAAATACCAAGCAGGTAGAGGCAGTACGTTCACGCGACGGTTTACGAGCTCGGTTTCCCGTGTTAAAAACTCACGGAATAGAAATAGCGCGCGTGGTGGAATAGAAATGTGAGCCGCGCAGTTGCAACGCGCGTGGTCTACGAATTCGTGCGACTTGTGTTGCATATCGCGTGAATTAATATAGTCGTAATTGATATCAGCGCGAGCTACAAGTACTCGAGGACTATCTAAAATCTCTTTGTGTGAAAAAATAACGTGTTGCATGCAAAACAGTAACGAAGCTTGCCGCAAATTTCAACGATGAAGTATATTGTTTCTTCTTAACAAAATCCGAAAGCGGAATTTTAACAAAATCTATAAAAGAATTGTTCGTTAGCGTTAATTTTTATACGTGATTTAATTGTTAGTGTCTTCTGACTACCATTTTATCTGTATTATCGCTTCGTCATCACAAGTCAATAGACATGCTTGTTTATCCGCAATCGTGCCAAGTAGAATTTAGAAACCGACGCGAGATTTGGTTTCAATTCCTATAAGAATCTTGTAATGTTAACGTAATATAAAAGTCATTTATATTATTTTCACTATTTTCTAATCTATTCTCATTGATTTATATTTTCAAAATAGATAAAATAGATTGAAAATAGATTGGAAAGAATTTCAACTCCAAATCGTTGAGCACCCAACAAAATTTTCAACATCAGAGTCGATTTGAAAATCGTTACAGAGGAAAAGAAGTTCTCAGAACTGCAATTTTCTATTCTATTCGATGTCGTATTTCTGCGTAACTGTTCAGATCGTACCTTGCTTCGCATCCATCGTGACTTTCGATTATAGCACTCAACGAAATTCTTAGGTACGCAACACTGGCGTCGAAGACGACCGCGATTTGACTGGCGCTACGTAGCTCCTTCTGCGTCTTTCGACACTGCCGCTGTTGTTGCCGCGGCCGTTTATTGGTTGATGATAGCGACGCACTACTCATACCGGTCTCGTTTGATTTGGATTAACTGTGAGAGTAGCAGCACGTGTGAGTTTCTTCGCATTTAGATCTAAGCTAGAAATAGGCACGCGTGTTAAAGGGAAATCGATCCAAGAAATAAATACTTGAGTCAATGTGACAATTAGATTCATACGTCGATTGATTTCAATCGAAACCGCCAAATATTCCATTAATCGCACACTCGAGTTAATTTGAGACTAATGTTCTTTTCTTAACGAGTATCGAGATATCAAATAGCTTGGATATGTGGCTTTTATCAAAACTTTTGTCAATTTTAAGATTTGACACAAACTATTGAAGAATTATGAAAATCGAAACAAAGGTACCAAATTCTATTCTAATTCTAGGATCTGTCTCACTCTGCGAGAGAAATTGTCAATTTCTTTCCAAGGAAAAATCCACATCGGCCATGTAGAGTGTGAAATGAAAGGAATATCCGGAAGGGCGGAGTACTGAATTTATCAAATTAATGATAAAGGAAAAAATTAATTATATAAATGAGGATCGCGCATGCAAATCCTATGTTTCAAGGATAACATCATAATAAATAGAAAACGCAAGGATGAAGTAAACAACTTGGACCTTGTAGCGCGCAAATCACGTGCAATAATAAAAATCATACGATATTTAATACAATTCACGTGTTGCAACGCAAATATGTGTACGCGCTTTTTACACGTTATCGTTGAACTCCATTTTCATAGTTAGTTAGTTGGACGTATAATTTCCGTTACAAGTTTATTATCTGTCCGCTGAAGGACAAAAGATTAAATTAACGCGATAAAACTCGCGATAGAACCAACCAATATTTTCCGTAAATTTTGTCTGACTAGCGATGCAAGTTAGGACTATGATGTTAAAAGCGGCTTTCATGTTGCGCTCGAGATAATTAATGCAACAATCAATCTACTGTAGATTTGCCAGATATTCATGAATAACGTTCGCCGAAGAAGGACGTTGATTGTGTGGAAACGCGTTAACATAATAACAAGCAATTACGCTCAGTTTATAATTTGCTTTGATACCATTCAATAACTGTGTGATGTCTAGAAGCATCTTCGTAATAAGCGTTCAATTCATTCAAGGTTGAGTAGTTCTTAGGCACGATTTTATTCAACGTCGCTGTTCTTAACGTCTCGTCTTTCAAAATCTCGCAATCTTATAAATCGGCTTACACAGCTGTTTTATTTCATTTCTTTTTGTTACATTATTTTTTCCTCAATTCAGCGAGCGTTATTTACACATTTGCAACCAAGCGTCAATTCGTTCGGTGCAGTCATACTTATACTCGACGCACTCGAGTAAACAATATAATTATCATAATGCACGATTAACGCGTTTGCAAACAGCGATGAAATTGTCGCGTAGAAATTGTTGCTTCTTTCTAGTCATTCTGTTACTAGATCTTGGAATTTTGAGAGGGATCGACCTATCGATCCCAAGTACAAAACACTTGCGCTAAAACGAAGGTTTTAATCTTCGCAGGTGACGTGAGAAAATGTATGCCGGTGGAAGACGAGCGCCGTCTTCGATGCATACGAGCATTCTACTTCTGTACAATTTTTCCCTCTTGGTTTCATTTCCTTTCATTTTCTCTACAAAGCTCTAGTTCACGTCATCCGGAAGAGTGTTGCAATATGCATTATTGAGCACTCGCACGCTTCACAATGCATAAAAAATAATACGCAATGTTTTATCTATTGCGAGAAAGTTTACACGCCGATGAAAAACATCACGCGAGAATCTTACATAATCGCCCGAAAATTTCCACTCGTTTTCCGTTCGGACGAGTCAATCACCTTGTCTATTTAATGATAAAACGGCATCAAGTTTGACATCAGCGTGTGAGGAGTTGGAATGTCGGAATCTTCATATCTGAAGGAGCGCCAAGGTGACGCTCGCAATGTTCTCCATCACATCGGCATTCATGCGCCACTTGAAGAAAGCGTCTGCCGCGTTTGACGATATTTTTATTCGAGTATTGAGCAACCCTTGTGTGACTTAGCAATATATTCAATTAACCCTTCATTCGGCAGAAAATTCCGAGAAACGACTGCAATTGCAGATATAAATGTAAGAGCCTCTCTGTACGTCAATTTTTTTCAAACTGAAGAAAAAAAAGAGAAATCGACTGTTAAGATCACAATGCGCGCCTATTTGTTGACGGCGAGCACTGAACGGAATTCGACCGTGATAGTAATACACGTGGAACAGATAAGCAAATCAAGCGACTTTACCAAATAAAGGGTCAAGCTCGCGGGTGACCGCGATAATACACGTCCTTTGCGATACGCGGCTCAAGTGCAGTCTGTCGCATGGCTGTGTCCGTGAATTCTTCCGAGTCCGCGATTCAGGGCCATCAACAATGGAGATCTTCCACAACCGCACAAATCGTTGAAATCGTCCAGATCGATGGACCAGATCATTCCGCCGCCGAGGTTCAGCTCGCTTATCAGATCCGTCTGAGGAAAAATGTAATTATTACATTACATATATGTTACATTACACAATTGTACAATTTTCAGCTATTACAAAGAATATAGGGAAGGAGGAAAAGAGTTCAGATTACATGGAAACATAAAAAATATTGTATAAAAGTGATTAAAGAAGCTTAAATAAAATTAAGTAAATAAATAAATCTCAGATATTGTTGTTTTCTCGAACACTGCTGGTGCAATTTACCTTTCTTCCGAGCCTGATTTGTGCAACGTTGCACAATACGTTCGCGGGGTCAGAGTGTGAGAGATACATCTAAATGCTAAATGTCACTTAAAAAATGCGCACATGTTATATTGCGTTATACTACAAATCGCGCGTTTCACCAAACGAATAGAACTCTTTCGAATGTTTTCCATATAAGATTGCAAAGCAACAATTGGATTTTTATGTTATAAGTAATTGCAATCGCGCGGCCTACTACTCCCTGTGAATCACGTGTGCGCCAGCCGTTTTTGAAATAAGCGACGCCAATGCGTCGCGTGCATTCGACACGTTTCGCGCGTCACACATACGGGTGAGATTAAACGCGTGTATGCATGTGCAATCTTCGTCGTACATACCTTTCTCGCTACATCAGACACTTCGTCATAGCTGACCCATTGATCGCGCTTCGACGCGTACGGTCCCATGTGTCCCTCCGCATCTTTCGTCACGGCCCAGC